CCAGAGAACACCAAGATTGACAAATTCGCCACTGGCGCCCTGTGCTCTTCACAGATTAAAGCAGGTTCACACTGAGCACACGTGACAGAAGTGACAGAGTCTGGAGATGCCTGCAACATCCTCCTGCACGACCGGTTTGGCAGTGGGTCAGTAATGGTGTGGGGTGGCATTTCTTTGGGGGGGGGGGGGCACACAGCCCTCCATGTGCTCGCCAGAGGTAGCCTGACTGCCATTAGGTACTGAGATGAGATACTCAGACCCCTTGTGAGACCATATGCTGGTGCGGTTGGCCCTGGGTTCCTCCTAATGCAAGACAATGCTAGACCTCATGTAGCTGGAGTGTGTCAGCAGTTCCTGCAAGACGAAGGCATTGATGCTATGGACTGGCCCGTCCGTTCCCCAGACCTGAATCCAATTGAGCACATCTGGGACATCGTTTCGCTCTATCCACCAACGTCACGTTGCACCACAGACTGTCCAGGAGTTGGCAGATGCTTTAGTCCAGCTCTGGGATAACCTCATCAGGAGCATGCACAGGCGTTGTAGGGAGGTCATACAGGCACATGGAGGTCACACACACACTACTGAGCCTCATTTTGACTTGTTTTAAGGACATTACATCAAAGTTGGATCAGCCTGTAGTGTGTTTTTCCTCTTTAATTTTGAGTGTGACTCCAAATCCAGACCTCCATGGGTTGAAAAATTTGATTTCCATTTTTTTATTTTTGTGTGATTTTGTTGTCAGCACATTCAACTATGTAAAGAACAAAGTATTTCAGAAGAATATTTAATTCATTCAGATCTAGGATGTGTTATTTTTGTGTTCCCTTTATTTTTTTTTGAGCAGTGTATTTCGAGGAGAATCCATGTCACATGTTTTGGAAATCTTTAATATATCGGATAGAAACTTCGGATGATATTGTATAGAGACGAGAAAGAAGATCCTTACGTAAGAGATAATCTGAATATTCACTCTGTAGGTGTTCTCCTTCTCAGACAAGGCACCATGCGCAATGTATTTGTGCAGTAGCCGAGGTCAGCCCTGTGCTATCGTGCATACTAAAGGGATATTGATTCAGGACATGAAAATATAACTTTGCCTCTTAGTAGAAAAAATGGTAAGATCTCACCCTGAATACACAGTACAATTATGGACATTTGTTTTAAAGAAGGATATGATGTGTAACGAAGCCCTAGCCCTGCCCAGAACTTTCCTCCGCTGGATCACCAAGAGTAGAAATCAGGAACAAGTAAATAGTACCACCTCCTCCCCAATAACTGGACGACACACAGTCCTGGGAGTACAACTGAACTTTATTCTCCCACACACGGCTTTTTCGCACTGGCCCCTAGCGTGTTTCTTTCCCAAGAGCCTTTGTGTTTGAGAGATAATTGAGCTCAAATTAAGATAGAGTTATCTCTCAAATACAGAAACTTCCATACAATTTTAAAATACCCCAAAAATACACTAAAATAATACAGGAACCCCACAAAAATCATATTCCTAAATAGCCCCGATCTGAGCGATCCACATATCTAAAGTGCTCGGATCGGTTCGGTAGAACGAAAGTTCTTTTCGAATAAAGTTCCAGAGGACACACCTGTCATTGCAGGGATGAACAAGGGGGTACAGATAAGCAAACACAAGGTAACATTATGGGATTAGAAAGGGTGCTACAAAATTAATGGATTAAATATTTTATTAATAAAGAAAACCTAGAAAAGTCAACTGGTTTACTTAATTTTTTATTTTTTTTTAAATCTCATAAAACCATTACACAAATATGTCCAGCGTCAGTACAAACCGCAATTTGGTAACTGGTTTATTATCTGTACAAAGACAAAAGGCAAAACACTGCGGCAAGAGAACAGATTCTTTACAGAAAGAATGGCAAGCTGTCGAATTCTTGGTCTAAAACGACAATTTTATCAGTTGGCCCTTTTGGTTAAATATTAAAAGTCATAAAATCTGCCATTTTGGAGTAAACAAGAAATATTTGTCCATTTTCTGGTAAAAAATTATAAATTGCTTCTAACTGGGTTTTTTTTTTTTTTTGCCTTGTTTTGGATTATCCGCAAAAAGATGGGTAAAAGGCTGAACTTGATGGAATTGAGAGTTTTGTTTAGGCGTTTATTACTATATCACTATGAGGTCATGCTCCAGCGCCATGGGCGGGCACGGACGAGATGGCGTGAATTTTATTAACACTTAGCAATGGCGGACGCCATTATATTACAAAAACTCCTGGCTTCCATGTGCAGCTCTAACGCCAATAAGTATTGTAAGGCCATTACAGTTCTCTTTGTAAATAGCTCCATCCTCCTGAATCTGTACAGAAAGATACGGAGATAACGCTTGATCACTTTATTGTGTGTGACGTTTCATAAATTCTTTATTAATCTCCACACAAATCCCCCAGCAGTCTGTCCAAAGAAAAGCTTTTATTTATAATCTTGTTTAGCATTCAATAGATTTTCCTTTTAATTGTGCTAAAAAAAAAAAAACACAACCTAAAACTAAAGTTAAAAAAAGCTATTTTCCCTAAAATCCACTTTAAATAAATCCCTCGGGTACATATCTGTACCGCAAGGAGCATAAACTCTGCGTTGTACTTGTACAAATGAACCTGAAAGGTCTCGGAATAAACCCCCACAATCCTTTTTAGCTCCGAATTAACATTTGCAAGCGCCGTCATACAGCTCGGAATAAAAATCGCTTTAAAACTGCCGCTCGACCAGCACTGGGGACAGGCTACACCGTCTCTCCCTGAAATACAGATTAACCAAACAGCTCTTTAACACTTTCCCAACAAGCACCAAGGCACATCCTTTTACAGCAAAATGGGTGCGGAATTCTGTGATGGAGAGGTTACAGTGCCCAGTGTAAAGAAAAACTCTCTCTCTCCGTATTACATCTTACCGCGTCCCCTCTCTCTCTCCGTATTCCATCTTACCGCGTCCTCTCTCTCTCCGTATTCCATCTTACCGCGTCCTCTCTCTCTCCGTATTCCATCTTACCGCGTCCTCTCTCTCTCCGTATTACATCTTACCGCGTCCTCTCTCTCTCTCCGTATTACATCTTACCGCGTCCTCTCTCTCTCTCCGTATTACATCTTACCGCGTCCTCTCGCTCCGTATTACATCTTACCGCGTCCCCTCTCTCTCCGTATTACATCTTACCGCGTCCCCTCTCTCTCCGTATTACATCTTACCGCGTCCTCTCTCTCTCTCCGTATTACATCTTACCGCGTCCCCTCGCTCCGTATTACATCTTACCGCGTCCCCTCGCTCCGTATTACATCTTACCGCGTCCCCTCGCTCCGTATTACATCTTACCGCGTCCCCTCGCTCCGTATTACATCTTACCGCGTCCCCTCGCTCCGTATTACATCTTACCACGTCCCCTCACTCCGTATTACATCTTACCGCATTTGGTGAAGTCTGCCTTGAGTGCATGTTGGGTGTGCCAAGATGGCCACAGCAGTCGATTTCTGTATTGTAAGTAATTATTTTCATCTTTTTTGACTTCCGTGTCCTCTGGCAGACCTGTTCCATGCCTTTTCATTTAAAAAAAAAAAAAAAAAATATATAGAATCCCCTAATAAAAACCACCAAAACACTATCTAAAGAATCCAAAACGGCCGATTGGCATCTTCCTGTTTGCACTGAGCATGTGCAAACTGCCTTAACCCCTTAAAGACACACGACATGTCATAATTCCCTTTTATTTCAGAAGTTTGGTCCTTAGGGGGTCCAAACCCCACTCCTGCTACACGTTCCAATGGACAAATGTCCGCGTGGGCTCAGACCCCACTCCTGGTACACTTTCCAATGGACAAATGTCCGCGTGGGCTCAGACCCCACTCCTGGTACACGTTCCAATGGACAAATGTCCAGACCTTTGTTATACAGAGATCTCATATTTGCTTAAACAAACCAATCTATGTTTTATTACTATTTGAGATTGTTTGTAAAACATCCTTGCGGTTTCAGTTGGGATCACACAATCCGCTCCCAGATCAGGTGCGGTCCACAAGTCAAACTCTCCAAACAGTCCAGCAGTAATGCAACGCCATCATGCAGGGCATAGCGGTGTACCCAAAAATACAATGTAAACAACCTGGGCAGTCTAGTCAGACTGTATCCATGTTCACTCTCTACCACACAACTAAATACAGAATAACACAATGAAACATAGCTTCTCGTCATACAGGAGTGTTACGATAAATAACACCGACAAACCCTTCTCATCGAGGACACTGGAGGTTGCGAGATAAAGGCACAGATGTCAGAAATGGATGCTAAAACAGTGAGATTCTCTGAGTCACTTCCCATTCGGACAAAAAATATCCACTGATGTCTCGGCTGGGTTACCAGGATCATCACGTCCGAATGTTACACACGGCAGGGTAAAGCTATTCCTGGAGAGACTAATTTAGGATGCTGTCACATTGATCGATAGATATGGGTTTCCCCTCTTACAGAATCTGTAATATAATCATGAATAAAACATGTCCACAATAAGTCAAACCTTCAGAGTTCTTAAAATTAACTTCCATCACGGTTAAAGGAAATCTGCTTGGTGCCAAGAGCCACATTAAAGCATTATATGGGGAGAGGAGAGGGGGGGATGGGTCATTTCCACCATACGGCCATATTGTGTTAAGCCCACCACTACTCCACAGTACCCCAATATCGGTGGGTCCTACACCAATTCAAACGTGGGAGACAAGTTAAATAAGCCAAAGTCTATTTCAATAATTTGTTGTAATCAGATTTGTTTGCTGAGATAGGAGATGGTTCATTAGTTTCATTTTGATACCACGGGGTGCTGGCAGAGACTAAGCTTTCAATGGGTTATTGAGACCTTTCATTTTTTTTATTTTATAGGAGACAAAGGTGGATTGTAAATCTGTTAAAATATTGCTGCCACCAGATCCAGGAGTGAAAGGTCTATACCAATACCGTAACACAGAATCCAACCCCAAACGAGAATGTTCATCAGAACACAAAAACAGACAAACAACAGACAGACAAAGAAAAATGGATATTCAGACACGGAAATAAATATTTACGCATTTATTGAATTCATGGTGGTCATCACCCAGAAATATGCTAACATTTATTTAATCTGGACAGAGTCTGAACTGACATTTGCAGTTAAATTTTGCTAACAAAAAAAAATGAAATTAACACATTTTGAAAATCCTTAATGCCAAAACAAGGGCTCACGGTTTACATATTCAAATGGAAAGTTGAAAGTATTTTTAAAAATTCGTGCCTGCAACAAACAGTGAAATGTTGTACAGATGTAGCAACGATGCAAAATTAGAAATGCAAGAATCTGTCAATCGGCACAGCATTCCCTAGTGTCCACTGTGCCACGTCAGTAGCTGGAGCACAGCAGAACGTACCACGCGATACTCAGAGAATCACAGTCAGTCTGGACAAGCATTCTCTGGTGTCCACTGTGCCACGTCAGTAGCTGGAGCACAGCAGAACGTACCACGTGATACTCAGAGAATCACAGTCAGTCTGGACAAGCATTCTCTGGTGTCCACTGTGCCACGTCAGTAGCTGGAGCACAGCAGAACGTACCACGCGATACTCAGAGAATCACAGTCAGCCTGGACAAGCATTCTCTGGTGTCCACTGTGCCACATCTGTAGCTGGAGCACAGCAGAAGGGACCACGCAATACTCAAAGAATCACTCAGTCATACTCTGCCAAGGTTATTCAAACAACAAAGGGAAGTGAGTTAAGAAGAGGCTAAATCTCAAATTTCAGGCTAAAGCATTTACACTGTGGGTTGATAGAGTTGTACTTTCTGATTATATTTTCCATAAACTCCCAAAGTCTGAATAAGCAGGAATTCAAACTTAATTTAACGTTTTAGGATACAATTTTCAGATCGGCTACTTTGGGCTGTAATTTGACATTAAATTCACATTAAAATTAGTGAATATCTCTTTGATTAGTACATGGGAACTGCAGTACAGACTGGGAGTTAAACCTCACCCAATGCTAAATGATGGGCAGAATGATATAGGGTAGACATTGGCACAAATATTGTCCTTCCCTAATAAACATTGCCAGTAACAGCGTATGACTTTCTAAGTATACTTTTTTGTTTACAGAGATATAACCTGACCCGCAGGAGCTGTAGCCTGTTAAAAAAAATAAAAATAAAATACAAAATGGCGGCTCCTTGACAAAAGCTTGCCGATTTATTGCCACATACATAGATTAAAAGTGCGTCCATCAGAGGACCCCAAAATAAAGGCTATTTTATAAAAAGAGGATGATCGTAAAATCTCACTTTAGCGGTAAGAAAGTCCTTTGTATGATTTTATAGAAATATTTTGGGGGGTGATTATATTCATAGCAGCTTTGTCTGTTTACATGAAAGTAATTTCTTACCTGTGTACAGTACGAGAGATTTATAAAAAGGTACTTTAAGAAAGAGCGGCGCTAATACACTGTATAAACCGTCACATCCAGCAATGGCTGAGTAACGAAAATAAACTGTACTGTGTGTATCAGAGGGTGTGATTGGCCAGACTCATTTAAATCACGGGCGAGATTCCTCTGTGATGTCACACTTCATAACATCATCGTACAGGAGCAACTACATTTCATCAACTTTAACAGCATTAGTTACCAAGGTGAGAATTGGCAGGAATTCAAAGTTGTCAATACAGCAAAACTGTAAGATTCAAATTTTAATTTCAATTTCCTTTGAATTCCTGACAATTTTCTCTTTAGTGACACAATGCGCAGCTTAGTTAATGTGGACGACTTGTGACACCCCAAACATTTAATGAGCACAAAATGACGTTTCAGGACTCAGTAAAACGCGCATTACATTCATTTAGTAATTAACACCCCTTCAACATATTTCAGTGAAATTTATATACAATAATGAACTTACAGGGTTAATTACTAAAGTGTGATTTGTTGAGAATTCAAAGTGTACTGAACATTTTAGAGCAAATTTGCCAAAGCAGCGATGTTTCAGTTTACACAGTTTTTGGCCAAAGTCTGAAATTACTGACATCGTACACTTTAGGATATGGCTTTGATAAATTGCATTAAATTACATTACCACGTATCTGACACTAACTCTAATTTTAGCATCGGCACATTAATGGCAAAAAGTGTTGGGTTGGAGAGAAATCATTAAGGCAAGTTTTAGAGATTCGGGTCAAAAATTCTAAATGAAGATTTACCTCGTTTAACACGTTATTTTATATCATGTATGAATTAGTTGGTTAAACCTTCTCCCATGCTACGCACGCATGCTGCAATTGTTTTGGCCAGTGAGAAGTGAAGTGGAGTTATGTGCGTCCTGCACTGCGCTCCTCACTAAAACACTAATAACCCTCACAGGGTTATGGAATGGGGAACGAGGACAGTAACAGTTCTATGTTAAGGTTAGGTTTTAACTATGAATTGTACATTTTTTAATGTAAAAAATCTTATGTTTGGCATCGCTAGTGCATTAACACCAAAATTTAGGATACAGCAGCAATGGCCAAATATATTAATCATAACCATGTGTTGTACACCACTAGCGAGTGTACAAACAGGCAGTGGGCCCAAGCGTCCTATGTGCAGTCATGTTTGTGCCTCAAATCAAAGGCCACCAATCGTATGTTCACAAACCAGTATCAGAACATGGGCCAAATCTTTGAAGGGACTCTAAGTACCATAACCACTGTATCTTGGTGCAACAGGTACTTTGTAAAATGACTAAGGTAATAAAAATAACCACCCACTGCTTCCTTGTCTCAGTTTATGAAATTCAGATATTTCCATATAGGAATACGGGTTCTGCATCCCAGAACAGGATTACACAACAAATAAAATGTTTAATGAAGTTAAATTTAATTGGCTGATTTAACGGCTGTTTTTACAGATTACTCGTCAATCTACTAAAATGCTAATGAGGTGGGTTTATTGGAAGTAATTAGTATCTTGCTAGGATTGGAAACAGTACCTCAGGAGTATAGCAGCCATATTGTACCCGACAAATAATAGCCAATACAGCGTCTATCCAGGGATCATCCGAGTGTCCGATATATAAGGGACAACGAAAGGACAGGACAGGCTGAACGGGCCCTCTCACCCATTTAAGGGAAAAGTTCAAAGGTGGTAAAGTAAAATAACAGACAGTGTGCCTTATCCACCACAGATCACATCACCATGCTGTGCTGCACGTACTACGGGAGAAACCACCCTATTCTAGGGAGAATTCCAAAATGCTTTATCTTCTGCAGCGCGTGATTGCTATAGACAGCCTAGGAGCCAATATTCGCTCCCACACTAACCTCTGACCGTACTGGATGAAAGAGAGTTAGTTTCCTATTTACACATTTGAAGAGGATTTCACCAGCAGAATGCCTTGGTGTCTACATGGGTAAAGAAGGACAGGGCCACCTTAAACAGGTATTTAGCTACCATAGTTATATTATTATTATTTAAAGCAGAAGGGGCAGAAACTAGCTGTAATTAACCTAAAAAAAAAAAAACCTGGATAATGTATGAAATATCACCTGCACAAATATAAAGTAACTTAAAGTGAACTCCAGACCCCAGATAGAGTGATAGATAGGCAGCAATTGCCCAGAGCACCTGCCTTGCAAACACTTCTCATTGAGCTGAATTGGGAGTCTGTGATTGGACAGCCACAGAAAGTGTGGGTGGGGTTAGAAGGGGAGGGCTTGGAATGGCTGCAAACAAGAGATCTGCAACTATTGCAAGCTGTGTTTTATAGATTATAACCCCAATGACAAAAAATGCTGAATTAAATACATACATGTTATAATGTCAAGACCGTTTCTTATTTTAACCTTTGTATTTGGGATGGGGAGGGTCCGTTGAAATTTGGCAAAATTGCCAAATATTGTAGAGATACATTATGTATTCAATGTAAAATACAGAGAATTAGTCGCCATACCTCGCTCCAGCGCCGCTATTTCTTACTCTGCCTGGAAACGCTTCTCTAAGCAGTGCTTGGCTTCCTCAGTGATGCCAACACGCTAGCCTCGTTGCCAGCATGCCGACGTCAGTCACTCTGTTTATATACTCCCTAGCCAGTGCTACCAGTGTCCGCTATGGTGTTTCCATAGCAAGCACAGGGTATGCCTTATGGTTGCTATGAGAGACCGGCTATGGGTGATCATTTCTGCTTTCGCTTAGTCTTTAGCAAACATTTGACTGAAGTGGGAGAAAATTCTATTTTTAAACAGGTTTTTCTCCCAAACTATACAACTGCTACCACAACGAACACAATGATTAGACAGAATCTTATGCTCTTTCAAAAAAAAAAAAAAAAAACACAGTACAGGTAAACCCTTAAATTAACAAGGACACTATAGTCATCAGAATAACTAAAGCTTAATGTATTTGTTGTGGTGTCCATAGTTTGTCCCGGTAGACTTTCCATGTAAACATTGCCATTTCAGAGAAAAGGCAGTGTTTACATTACAGCCTAGTAACACCTCTAGGTGCAGTCACTCAGATGGCAACAAGAGGTGCATCCTGTGTCAGTGCTGCACGATCTACATCAAGATGCTCACCGCTCCCCATAGAGATGCATTAATTCAATGCATTTCTATGAGGAGGTGTTGATTGGAGAGTGCAGCGTTTTGCCGTACATGCGCAATAGCCTCCTAAATGTTTCCTATGGCAAAGCATTGGATTGGCAGAGATGCATAAAGTTGATGATCTCAGTCATGGAGGCGGTATGAGAGGACCGGCACAACGCTCGAAAAAAAAGGGGTAAAAAATCTTTTAAAACAAAGGGAGTGGTTGTAGATAGCGGTTTCAGAACGCACACTAAGCAGCAATACTAACAAGGACACACAGACATTAAAAAAACTAAAAGTTCCATGAAAGGAGTTTCTAAACACCATACCCACCCCCTTAAAGCCTCGTAACCCTCCAAAATATCACGGAACGGCTTACTGCCCAAAAATTCTACTTCTTTCAACCCAACGGAGACACTTATACTCTTTGATTAGCTCTATCTATGATGCAGGAATATTAGATTCCTTAACCTGCTGCAATAATTATACACCCCATCCCTTGTTTTTCATTAAACCTGTCAAGTTATTCCCGATTTTTTATTGTAAATCGAGGCAGATTGATGCTTGCAAACAGCCATAACATAATCAGTAATAGTCTGAAAGGCTCAGTTGTCACAGGAGATGATCGAATATTCTTACCGTTTTAATATTTTCATATGCAAACATTGAGAAAACATATTTTGTTTGCTTGATGTGTGAAGGTCTGGGTTAAGGATTTGACTTGATTAAAACAAAAAAGGAGGAAAGGGCCCACAATTTCAATAATGTACACGCCTACGTCGAGTTTACAAAATCAGAGATACGTTTTATGCCGATATATATGTAAATCATGACTGATCACTTTAGAGAGTGCCATTGGTTAAAAGTTGGATATGCAATCTGACGTTTATTTTTGTTCACATTATTATTGCATATACAACTGGACTGGAGTCCGGCATACACTGCAAATTAATGGCTTCTCGTGATGCCGCACTTCCAAAGCATTAATGAGCACATGCGCGCAGACAGAACCGATAGTGGAAGTCTCACCTTGCACATCATGGGAAGAGGCAGTTGCTATCATCACTCACCCAAATAAACACTCCAGTAACAAATTACCAAGGTGAGTGTAGACAGAAACTGCACCAACTCTGAGGAGAATATTAACAGAAGAGTCTGCTTTCAAATCATGACCCTTTTATTGGCAAAATGGGGTTCGCAAGGGGCGTTGAATATGGACAAATAAAAACACAAACCCACACGTTTGACATTAAAATATATAATTGATATGCAAGACATTTCATTTGATTGGAGATAAAACACCAATATAATCCCTATGTTCAGCTCATTAAGGATGCACAGTATTATAAACCTGCAGAATTTGCAGAGGACCAGATAAAAAGCCGCACAACAAGATGCAATTATAAACCAGCTTCTAAAAGAATATAAAACATTGCTATCTGTCATGGATGCCATGACCCAGTTTAAACTTTCGCAGCAAGTTGCCGGCCCATCTGGTAACAAAAGGCTAATCGAATACACTTCCCCAAAAAAATACATCTGCATTAAGGTGACAACAAAAAAATTAGGAATTCATTTTGCCACGTTCAGAAAAATACAGACAGGAAGTGCCAGACAGAACCAAAACACCCCAGCTGGCGATCTAGAACCATGAATGAATCTTCTAGTTTCTAGCACACGAGGGCACAAGTTGGCTAAACGTGTCCCACGGCACATAGCGCTCGCTTCTGTTTGGGGAAATAAAGACTGCTTGAAATCGACAAATTAAAAAGTTACATAAAAACTCCTTGGTTATTAGGAAGGGTAAATATATTTAATGAGTCCCTACAGTACCGAAGGAGGGGGAGGAAAAAACGCCTCACAGCAGTGGGTCCAAAGCTCTCAGAATTTTTTTTTAAAAACAGGCCTTTAGTGTCTGATACACATTAAGAATAAAAAGGGGTTACAAAGCATGGTAGCTAGAGGTTTTAAGGCTCTGTGAGGCGCATGGCGGCGTTACGCAGCACTGTTAGTAAATATTTATCCCGCTGACATTTCTTCTTCGATTAGAAAGGCCACAAAGCAGTCTGCAGGTTTATACGTTTCGTTAAAATATAGATTTTCCTTTTAGGGTACTACTGCAAGACCTCTGTCAAGAACACAAAATACATTTTCCTCATCTTTGGCCAAGAAATTTTTTTTTTTTTTTTTAAATTTAAAAATGAAAACGAATTCTACTTTGTCCAACTACTAAAAAGAGAGCAAAAAAAAACAAAAATCACCAGTTATTCACTCACTCTTCCAGGATCATTTGAAAAAAGGATATCAAATAAAAGCTGGAGGAGAAAAGTGGGGGGAATGGGGGGGCTTAAATATTATACACAAAGATTCTCATCCTTTCACCAGCAAATCCTATAAATATTTGAAACGGTTCTCCTCCCATATCTCACACATATCTCCTCATAAAAACAGAAGCTGATTCAGATAAAGAACATAAATAAAAATAAAATAAAAAAAAACTACAATAGGAGGGAATCTAGAAAAAGAAAATAAACCTACAGTAGCACCTAAAAAAAACTAAAAAGAAGAAATGAGGAAGATCTATACGTGAGATCCCTAAAATGACTCTAAACCAACATGGCAGCAATGTGTTTACAATGAGCCTCTAAGGTAAGAGGCGTTAACGCTTGCACTGCCGTGGCCAGCCAGCTAGGACGCCAGCAGATTATAGAGTCCAGTTTTCCCAGTCCCATGATGCAATGCTTTGGGAACTAGAGCACGGCAGCCATTTAAAGGGAGAAGTCCGTGCATATGGTGTTAAACGGATCTCGTGGCATCGGTTTAATCTCCCAGAACGCACTTGACAAACGACGCCACATCAGTGTTCTTTGTTTCATGCAGTGTGAAGAAGGGATGTTGCTGTGAAAACGAAAAAAGTCAATTACAACTAGTTAATAAGGGACAAACTGCGTATTCATGTAATTCAGCTTATTGGTGGACACATGGCATCCGGGTTCAAAGAAGTACGCTAGTTTCCAGACTGCGCACAGTAGGATACTGGGAAATACTGTGCAAGTCCAAGCATCTGATTGGCTGTTAAAATCACATGATCTCTATAGCCATTTATTTATTTATTTATTTAAAGTCAGTAATTTTCACGATTTGAAAATGGTTATTCAATTCCAAGATGGCGGCCTCCATGCTGAAACACGGACTGACCTTCAAGGGGCCATTCCATCTAAACCTTTCACAGCGTTCTTAGATTAAAAAACACGCTTATAGGAGCAATGCTGGCAAATTTTAAGGGGGGGGGGGAAACACACATTGCTTGTGAAAACTGGCTTTTAAAACAATTGTTACACATTTTATATATTTACCATAAGTTCTGGGTAAGTTGGACGCTCATTGGAATTCTTCTTCAAGCTAAAATAGAAAAGCAGACAAATTAAAAAAACAGAACGTTTTAAGAATCAGGCCAATTATTGTCATATATACCGCTTTACTAATGACCCAGAATAAAGGCTTCCCAAACCTTAAGGGTTAAAAACTACATCATTTGCATATTGCGTTACCATCACAGCAGACAGTCTGAAACATTTTATATTACTTTCACACAGCAACACAAAGCCCGCACTTACAGAGATTAAGGGGTAAATCTTGCTGATGTGACGTGAAGAAAGGCCTATTTACTTATCTCCAATGAGCAGCCAAGCTGCGTTGAGTTTGTTAAAATCACATATTTGAATTGTTCTACACTTTGTTTGAATGGCTGAATATCTAAAATATTCCTTATCTGACCATTCATAAAGCAAGAAATTGTGTTTGTTTGTTGGATCCAACAGCACTGCTAGAGATCAGGTGAACTACAACCGTAACCTCAATACCCGAACCTAAACAGAATCACTTCTCTAACCCAACCCTACCCAGCCTCAACACAACAGAATCACTTCTCTAACCCAACCCAACCCAGCCTCAACACAACAGAATCACTTCTCTAACCCAACCCTACCCAGCCTCAACACAACAGAATCACTTCTCCAACCCAACCCTACCCTCAACAGAATCACTTCTCTAACCCAACCCTACCCAGCCTCAACAGAACAGAATCACTTCTCTAACCCAAACCTTCCCAGCCTCAACACAACAGAATCACTTCTCTAACCCAACCCTACCCAGCCTCAACACAACAGAATCACTTCTCTAACCCAACCCTACCCTCAACACAACACAACAGAATCACTTCTCTAACCCAACCCTACCCTCAACACAACAGAACAGAATCACTTCTCTAACCCAAACCTACCCAGCCTCAACAGAACAGAATCACTTCTCTAACCCAACCCTACCCAGCCTGAACACAACAGAATCACTTCTCTAACCCAACCCTACCCAGCCTCAACACAACATTATCACTTCTCTAACCCAACCCTACCCAGCCTCAACACAACAGAATCACTTCTCTAACCCAACCCTACCCTCAACAGAATCACTTCGCTAACCCAAGAATAACTCTACCCTAACCTCAACAGAATTACTTATCTAACGAAAACAAACGTACCCTAACCTTTCTGCTCATAGCTCTACATTGTGTCTCTTAGTATTTTATCTAAAAACTGCAATTTTAAGTAATTCCTTTAACTAGCAGTCGGCGAGTGAAAAAGACCTGGCTAGTAGGATAGGACTTCACATTTTAAGCTAACCACCAACGTCTATGTTTTGGTCATCATTAACCCCAAATAGTATTCCGAATACAAAAACACGCAATACTCCTATTCAGTACTGTCCTTCACGTGCCGGACCTAGTAAGCCAAGTCACTCCCGGCGCAGGTTAACCTGAGTGAATCAGGTATGGTGAAGGCATGGTTATTGCTGGAGGTCACCCTCACCGTTTAGCACAGACTGAACATAAAGTGTGACTATACAGTGAATAGCGAAAACCTCAGAGTAATTATCAGCCAAACTGAATAGATCTGATTTGAATAAAGTGAACTGCATTTGTTAAATTACAGATTTGAATTTCTCCCAATGTAGGCACAGTTGAATGCTAAAGCCATGGTAAGCACAAGTGTCCAATTATCCAATGGGAAGCAAGCGTAGCAGGCAAGCTCCACTACAGTCCTACCCACCATGCACCAGGTCACTGGTGCTTGCTCTCGCTGAATTGATACGCCAAACATAATGACTACCTCACAATGAAGTTGTTATGGTGCCTGGAGGTTGTGGATGCAGTTTTTCCTTAGGGCTGGTTTGTTAAGTACGTACATTTCTAAAGCGTTTCAGAAAGGCTTCTGTGTTAAAGACAAAGCCAGAGACATAGGGGTCGAGAGGACAGCGCTGTCTAGTGCACTTTGAGTTTAAACTGTTCATAGATGGTTTAACTTCGTAAGGTAAAAACAACATCTAGGACCTCCAGATACCATAACTTCATTAAGATGAAGTCATTATGGTGCCCAGAGTGATCCTTTATTAAACAAGAATGTGTGCGTTATATGAACAAGACGAAATTATAACCTTTCAAGGTCATTCGCTAAACTTTTTACGTTTTTAAAAAGGTTAGGCCAAAATAGCAGATTTAATTTCATCACTTCAAAACAGAGAATGTGAAAAGCCATTTTTTTTTTTGGTACAGTTTTGATGCAATGACATAAATAAAATGCTCCCAACGTATGATGTGATGTACATATTGTAAGCCGGGTCAGAGGCCAAACAGAGAGCTTTTCCATTGGGCTACGTTTACCCATCCTATAGTCAGGGCGCTTCCTGTAATCGCTTCCCCTTTAGTGATCTTCGGGAAACTTCCCAGACAGACAATAGCAAAAAATATTGCATCAGAACCAGTCAGAATAAACAGATCTGCTGACTAAATGGGGCATGCTGCAGGGGAAACCCAGGACCTGTTCCTGTGTCTGATGGTAAACGGATTTCTCACTCTATGCTGGAATGTATACTTGTATACAGAGGATTAGCACAGAAACAAATCTACCTAATCGCAATGTTTGCTTAAAGTGAGAGCACACCATGTCCCAGTACGCGCTACATGGGATGAGGAGCGCCGCAGAGACAAGTATCTCACAAATCTACTTAATGAGAACGCCTTCTTCCAGAACATCAAATATGGGCGTTAAGCCGTGATCCTTACACGTGACGCACTGCACACAGGTGTTACACTGATTACTGCTGTGACCCACCGCTATATGTTCATATGGCAGGACACTGCACAGTAATTCTCTACAGACCGCGAGTAGAGCAAACAGATTGATAACAGGACAGTTAGGGAGTCTCGTGTCAGTAGCTCGAGTCACTCATCACTTCACTCCCCCATTTACCCACTTACCATTCTGAGGTAAATTCAACAAAATCAGCAGAGAACCTATCTGCAGGCAGCTGGGGCGACGGTTCCTCCACCACCTGTTTTAGCTGCTGAAAGGGGGTTCCCCAAGAATCATACGGAAAGCGCAGAATTGCCAGCTCGACCTGTCAATGAATAAAGAAAGAGTTAGAACTTAAAACAGCCTTTATCAGGAAAAACACCATACCTCCTGCTGCCCTGAACCAGGCTGTGTAGTGTCAGCTGATCACTCTCAGCCAATGAGCCAGGCCGTCAGCTGATCACTCTCAGCCGATCACTCTCAGCCGATGAGCCAGGCCGTGCAGTGTCAGCTGATCACTCTCAGCCGATGAGCCAGGCCGTGCAGTGTCAGCTGATCACTGAGCAGAGAGCTTCTGGTTGACTGGCACCCAGCAGTCCCCAGGTAAGTTGTCTGGCAATTTGAAAACACTTTCACTACTTACCTTGGGAGGATATCAGGGCACTTCTGGCACCATAAGCATTACAGTGTGCAGTACTGGTTATGGTCCTTGAAGTGTTCCTTAAAACCAAGCGCGGGGCGGGGGCTCACCACAAACAGCACAGGTGAAAATACACAAACTATTCCCATACGCCTGTATAATGACTTTAATGTGTTCTAAATATGCTGAAATTTCTAATATTGCCGACAAAGTCTAACACAATGCTGCGTAAAAACTGGGCACCTGCTGCCACCTGCTGGTGGAGAGCGGTAATTGCCTCCTGTAGTGAGTTAAATGGACACTGTAAGCCAAGCATTTCAAACCCAAAGTTTAACACAAGGTATAAATTTATGTGGGCCGCAAAAAGTAAAAAATAAATAAGTACGTTTTTCATAGTGACGTAGTTTTTTTTGAACAGTACAGTATAAAAACCAATTTAAAAAAAAAAAAAAAGCATCCCCCATATACCAAATCCCAGTGCCGCCTCCCCCCTCCCCTCTACTAAATCCCAGTGCCGCCTCCCCCCTCCCCTCTACTAAATCCCAGTGCCGCCCGTCCCTCCCCTCTACTAAATCCCAGTGCCGCCCGTCCCTCCCCTCTACTAAATCCCAGTGCCGTCCGTCCCTCCCCTCTACTAAATCCCAGTGCCGCCCGTCCCTCCCTCTCTACTAAATCCCAGTGCCGCCCGTCCCTCCCCTCTACTAAATCCCAGTGCCGTCCGTCCTCCCCTCTACTAAATCCCAGTGCCGCCCGTCCCTCCCTCTACTAAATCCCAGTACGTGCCTCCCCTCTACTACAACTCCCAGTGTCAGCGTCCCTCCCCTCTACTTCAACGGTCCCCTCATCCTGCTCTCCCTCTACTAAATCCCAGTGCCGTCCGTCCCTCCCTCCTCTACTAAATCCCAGTGCCGTCCGTCCCTCCCCTCTACCCAGTCCGTCCGTCCCTCCCCTCTACTAAATCCCAGTCCGTCCGTCCCTCCCCTCTACTAAATCCCAGTGCCGTCCGTCCCTCCCCTCTACTAAATCCCAGTGCCGCCCGTCCCTCCCCTCTACTAAATCCCAGTGCCGCCCGTCCCTCCCCTCTACTAAATCCCAGTCCGTCCGTCCCTCCCCTCTACTAAATCCCAGTCCGTCCGTCCCTCCCCTCTACTAAATCCCAGTCCGTCCGTCCGCAAGTTTTGAAAAAGCTAACAGTTCTGAATCCAGCCCGGACAGCAGTGATGGCGTGAGAAAGCCCAGCTAGCTCGCCCCAGCAGGTAGGATGGGATTGATACGGACAATGCGGTTATTTATATAGCGTCAGCAAACTCCATAGCGCTGTACAATGGGTTATCACCCAGAATGCACTGCTCCGTACCATGGTAATTCCCAGGCTCCAAATGTCAGACTTCACGCTGTAGCCTTTCTGGTTGAGATCTGGATTTATTCTTTCAGGCTGGAAAACAAGGACAGGTTTAGGGACTTTGTTGGATCACCTCTGGAGTGTGCGTTAAGGCGAGACCTCTCTCCCAGCCCCACCACTAGCACTCACCGCCATGTAGGGCTTACAGCCAGCGTCCAGGGTTTTAGCTACAGAGTCCACTAAGTAACCGCTGATGCCAAAATCGCACATCTTCACCTGGCCCTGGGTGTTAATCAGTACATTGGAGGGTTTCACGTCTGCAGGGAAAGCAGAACAGACACATTAGAGGCCACAGTCGCTAATCTACAGTCGTCCATAAAGAGGGGGATCAAGTAACAGGGAAAATGGAATTTTGTCTCTTGATTAACCAGTGCCAAGGCACCACCCGAATAAGGGATGCCGTTTGGGGCACTATGTTTAAAAAGAAGATGATATAGAACCAGGAAAAGAGGAGAAACAGGCTAAAAAAAAAATTAAAAAAAATAAATAAATAAATCAATAAATAAAAAAAGTAATATGGGGAATGGAAGATTTTAGTTAAGGTTAGAAAACGTGTGTATTTGTATATTATTAGACTCTCATTTCTAAGGTGAACAGGTCTCCAATAACCTATTCATTATAGAACAGGTCAGATTTTAAAGTGTTACAGCCACTTCCTTTCTTTTACCAAACTAAACAGCAAACTAGCCTTAGGCTGTGCTAAGAGTTTTTACAATTTCTTTTACATTTTTTTTTTTTGTTTTGTTTTTAAAACTTGCACACATTGCCAGCCAAGGACGGGCAAAGTATGTAAATTAGCTAGCTTTCGTAATGTCATATGCAAGACACATGCGCAGCACCGTTGGAAGGGATTCCAAACACGTGTGTGCACATATGGAATGTCAGAGAGATGCATAACGGGATGACAAATCCCCATAACGTGATGGAGGTTAGAGAGTTGTTTACCTACCTCTTCTGCTCAGTTCACCCAGAGTATAAACACTGAGAGCATTTACTGGGGTGAAGTGACACTCCGGCTGCAGAGAAATACAGTTCAGAGAAACTGCTCTGCTTACATTAGGGTTAATCCAGCCTCTAGTGGCTGTCTCATTGACAGCCACGAGAGGCGCTTCTCACTGTGAAAATCACAGTGAGAAGACGCTTCCGTCCATAGGAAAGCATTGAGAAATGCTTTCCTATGGACTGATTGAATGTGCGCGTGGCTCTTGCTGCTCATGCGCATTCAGCGGATTACGTCAGAAGATGGAGGAGAGTCCCCAGCGCCGTAGAAAGGTACGAATTTAACCCCTTATTCCCCCCCTAGAACTCTGCGGGAGGGGGACCTATTAACACTATAGTGCCAGAAAATCGAGTTTGTTTTCCTGTTACTATAGTGGTCCTTTAATGTCCCAATTGCCAGCTCTTTAAACAGTTCAGCTACATTCTGCTAGTGAAATCCATCTAACCAGAGGTAGCTGCTCATATACACAGTACACAAATTAAATGTAATGTTGCATTACCTCTATGGATCACGGAGAGTTTACTGTGCAGATGTTCTAATGCTCGAACAATCTGAAGAAGAAAAACACAAAACCAGGAATTTACTGTCAAGAAAGACACTTTATGCACAGATACATAAGCACAGTGAATGTTCAAATTCTATACATTCCCAAAATATAATATATATTAAATCGGATATGGTGTAAGGGGCTACTTGCAGCTCTGTCCCTTCCCTAATTAAATCACAGCTACAGTGATAGAACACCCACCCCCCAAATAAAGGTGAGAGCAATTGTGCCGCCGTGAGCCACTTTCATGTAGAAACATGAATGAAGTTATAGGTTCTACTACCTTGCTGAGTAGATTCCTTCATGACCATTTGTGAATGAAACTACTTGTTACCGCTGAACGGAGGCTAGGCAGGAGGGCTTATAGGATAAACTGCAAAGAATCCTGTTCTGGGAAGACAGATTCTGGTTCTTCCATATTTTATGAAGGCCAATAAATGGGGAAGGGGGTATTTTAACTAAATTAGACAGTTTCCACCCGAGGCATATCATACGCTCAGTAGCTCTCAGTGGGTAGGTAACTGTGGCAAGGTAGGTACTCACAGAAACAGCTATTTTTCCAAGTATGTCCTCTGGGATCGTCAGGCCCTTGTCGATGACGTGTTTGTAGAATTTGTCCAGAGAGGTGTCCATTAGCTCCATGCAGATCCATACGTCGCCCTGCAAGTCAATACAAACAGATCGAGTAACAGCCACGCTTGGCTCCGAGAATTCTGGGAAATGCAACTTAAAACACAGAACGTGCATGTTTTATCACCATTGCGCTCTTTAAAGACCGGATGCAGCAAGGAACGTCCAACGTGTCAGAGGAGAACATTTCTGCTGACTATTTGAGATTACTTTTATTTTACACATTCAGGTTTACAGACATTTTATGCTTTCATTTCTATTTTCCTTTCCTTCTCCCATTCTGCAGGACAAGTTTAATTGTCTCAAAACACTCCTGGCTTTCTGGATTTCGCTCTCATTAATGGTTTGCTCTTAGTTTAGGTTAAAAAAAAATTTAAAAAGCCATAAAATCATGTTTTGCTTATTGCTATCTTTGTATTCATAGGGCACAAAGAAATGTGAAAGAACTTTTAATGAAAGTATTTCCAATTTTTTTTTTTTTTTTTAAAGTTACAGTCTAGGCACATAATGCAAATCCTCCTACATTTACCATGATTCATCTCATTTCTTATTTAAGTCAATGTTGGCATCACCTCCTTTACATTTAGAATCATGGGAAACGTAGATTTGCGAAAAGAACAGGTAAAGAAGAACATTAAAAATGGCAGGTATGGGGATTTAAAATAAATAGATGAAAACCAGCCAATGGATCGTTAGTCCTGCTACGGATACCTCTCTAAATAACGCTCCATAAAATGTGACAGTGAAGTGACAATCCACGGTGCGCATGGAGATATCCAAGTCCATTAGAAGTCTCTTCTGTTCCTGGCTGTTCACCGTCGCCCTGATGCGCTGTGGAGAAAACAGAAGATATCTCATCATCGGAGATTCAACACGAGGTGTGAGGTCAGCTAGTACGGAAAGCCAGCACCGCGGTCCCGGACAGCAAGAATAGTCCGCCACAGTGTTATCACCATGCCAACGTAAAATAAAATAAAAACCAGGACAAATTGTTTACTACAGCAGCCCCCTTTCTAGATTACATCCCAAGCACATTATCAGCCGTAACCCTTTAGGTTCACACTACGTCACTCCAATTCCAGGAGTGATGAGAGATATACACTTTAATACAGAGGTTTCCATGGCAACTGCTCCCATTCTGCCAGGTGTCCCTCACCAACAATAGGGTTCCATTAGACATCAGGTTGTGGGTTTAAATTACACAATTATCACAGGTCACAGTGGAAGTATTATACTATACGTAATAAAGGTTTTTATTGCATACAAAGCGTAGACGGTAATAACCCATCGCGAGACCAGTCTGCCTTCAATAATTGCTGGGTCAATACTGACACAAAGTTCTATTTACAGGGAATGCTGGGTAAACCTAGAGCATGCGCTGGCTTGCTGCACTATGGCAAATTGTGAGGCTCTTCGGTAGAAGCAGACAGTCCGTTTTAAAGGGAACATGTCAGGCAGGCAGAGAGAGAGAGAGAGAGAAACTGGAGGGTTTATTCACTAAACACAACATTAAAGCATACATAAATAACGCGGAGCTTCTTAAATAAATATTCAGTCTAAATGTGTAATCATAAGCATGCAAGACAATAGTGCAATATAGAATCTGATATATGAACATATGGAGTATCACTCACAAGTCAAGAGCCATAAATCTCATATGACTCAAATGGTAAACGCCTGTGGACACACTGTCCACAGAGTGTCCAATTCCTTCCTCTGCTTCATTGAACTGGATGGTGATTATTACCCAATATCCAAGGTTCCAGAGGTATATACACAGGAGACTCAAGGTAAGTGTCCAGAAAAGGTGCTTTATTAATAATCCGTTAAAAACTGACAAAGTAAAACTGTAAAAACAAACAAATACCAGATGCAGTATCTCTGGATAACTTTATAGTCCAGTTAGTTAATAAGCACCTTTTCTGGACACTTACCTTGGGTATCCTGTGTATATACCTCTGGAACCTTGGATTATGGGTAATACTCACCATCCAGGTCGAAGAACCAGAGGAAGGAATTGGACACTCTGTGGACAGTGTGTCCACAGGCGTTTACCATTTGAGTCATATGAGATTTATGGCTCTTGACTTGTGAGTGATACTCCATATGTTCATATATCAGATTCTATATTCCACCATTGTCTTGCATGCTTATGATTACACATTTAGACTGAATATTTAAGAAGTTTTTTTTGCATTTTGTAGAAGTGGTTTAGGGGATTCCACCTAAGGTTTTTTTTAGCTTAATTGGTTCCCTCCATATTGTGCACTTATTTGTGCACAACATTAAAGTGAACTGTTAAAGTATCGCAGGTCCACAAGCCCTAGACTTTAGCTAATCCTACTCTTTACCACCACAGCAGGGCGGTTATTACAGATATGTACTACCTGGTGTGATTGGAAAAGCGATCACTGCAGGCCACTCCTTAGCAATAGTAGGATTAATTACCTTAACTGCCATGATCTGTCCGCTGGGTACGTGACGCATCTTCTCCACAACGCCATATGCTCCTCGTCCAAGTTCCTCTATAGGCTCCAAGTCATCTGCCTTCACCTCAAAGTTCTAAGGAAGAATGAAGGAAGTGGTTAATCGGCCCCAGATGCCAAAGTTTCCTTTTTTGCCCTTAACCCCCCCCCCCCACCAGCTCTCCCATCCCCTGCCCCATTCCTCCCAGCCCAGACCCCTCAGAGGCACCAGCCCTCCCATGTCTCCCCCGCTCCCCTCAGAGCCACCAGCCCTCCCACGTCTCCCCCCACTCCCCTCAGAGCCACCCGCCCTCCCACGTCCCCCCCCACTCCCCTCAGAGCCACCAGCCCTCCCACGTCTCCCCCCACTCCCCTCAGAGCCACCAGCCCTCCCAGACCCTCCCCTCCACACCTCATTGCACAACAACACTCTGCTTGCTAACATTTACCCCACAACATGGTGGTTTTGAGTAGTGTTCATTTTTTGTCTTACTCACACAAATAAACTAAAAAAAGGATAGATACATTAAAAAAAAAACATTCATTAACCTAACCAAGCCTGACCCCAGCAAATAGCAGCACACGCCAGAATGTACCTTTTCTCCAATAAGAATGCACGCCTTGGAGTCAAGATCTCGTGGTGGTCTGTGGGAACAAGTAAAAAAAAAAAAAAAAAATAATCAGACTGCAGAAAGAACGCTTGTTTCACAATACAATCCCTCAATCTGCTTATCCGGAGAATTTCCTAACCTACGAAACGCACCACAGTGCAGTTCTACACTGGCACCAACACCTCCACCAGCCAGCGTAACTGGACAGTCCAGGCAACAACACAATGAATGCTTTTACAGCTTTGTCCTAAAACTCATTTTTTACAGAATAAATTATGTGCAGCGTTCTGCATGTTAACGCCACCTGCATTGTGAAGCTGCGCACACGAGGTCACTGCTCCTAATTGGCATCTTTTTGCCGGGTTTAGACACCAAAACCACTTCATCCTCGTGTAGTGATTTTAGTGAAGAAATCGCTCCCATTGAACGTACAAAGTTTAGCAGAGATGCTCAGTCCGCAGCCTCCAATTACGATTTGTTTCTACCTGTTTCTACCATAAACCTGCGATCGGAGGGAGGGACAAGATTGCTTGTATCTCACATAATAGTAAATAGCATCCATTGTCCCGTCATGAAAAAACAGATTTCAAAACCGTTGTTTTATTTATTTTATCTCATCTGATTAGATACAATAACAGGACTTGATATTGTTGCACCTTAAACACATTATTTGTTAAAATAAGCTGAACAAACTCGTCTTCTGTTCTCTCCCAACTCTTTAACGAGCAGGGCTGGTTTTATCTGTTTGGGGGGAGAATCATCCTAAATAACATCTTCAGAGTTAACCATTAGGGATCAGATGACAGCGTGTCCTGATTTAAGGAAGAATTGAAATGTCTGATAAGCTTCTATTTACAAAGAAACCTTCAACAAACCGAGACAGCGGAAGAGTTACAAAACAATTATAATAAAAATGACACCAATGTAAACACACGCATGCATACCCGGACCTCACTGCCCTGATAAAAGTTACAGTTGTGAACGGGAACGTTGATGTATTTGACAATATTGGAATAAAAGTTTCATTAAGAATTTAGTCTGATCTGGCACTAGGTGAATTTGAAGATTTAAAGCCAGAGTGCAGGTTTTGTGTGTGTTTGTCTATACGTTTAACTGATTATCACTCCTATACGGAGCTACGTGGTGTCCCATTGGCCATTTAGATCGCAGTTAGAATAACCTTTGGTTAGTCCCTGCTCGGGGCTTGCTCCCATGTTGGTTTGGCTAAACATTCAAAATGGATCCCAGTTACAGGGCAGTCCAGATCCTGCAGGGACCCACCACAGGACAATCTGTTTGAGAATTTGAGCTGTATTTTCTTGCGCCCCGTTTTGGTTTGTTTGAAGGGTAAATGTAACAGACACCATGAAAACCAATAAAACGCCGACTCCAGCCTGTCAGTGACATGCGGCTAGCTGTACACCAGGGGGCGCTGCAATCCTATATATACAGATCAGTCCAACAGTAGATGAGGCAAAAACCGAGATTTTTCTTTATTTTTGTTTAACACTAGTGGGATTTTCTGACTACAGTTACTTTACTATCAGTCTTTAAAAAAAAAAAAATTTTTAAACCTCCTCAGAATATTTGCTGATTTAGATTTAATGCATTCCTTTATAAAAGTGATTGGGATGTCAATGAGCTGCCAATCAATGGGAGAAGGAATGAGCTGGGAGAGCCTTAAATAAACCATTGATAGTGACAGGGTGTTGGATCTCGAGGGCAGAGAAACTTTCAGGGAGGGAGAGACTGTAGGAATCATTAGGGCTGTGGTGGAGTGTTATACACCCGTCAAGATACAAGGTGTTCTCCTGCTGTGTGAAGGGTGCGCTCTGGCCTATGGGGTGATACAAGGTGCTCTCCTGCTGTGTGAAGGGTGCGCTCTGGCCTATGGGGTGATACAAGGTGCTCTCCTGCTGTGTGAAGGGTGCGCTCTGGCCTATGGGGTGATACAAGGTGCTCTCCTGCTGTGTGAAGGGTGCGCTCTGGTATATGGGACGATACAAAGCACTCTCCTGCTTTGTGAAGTGTGCACTCTGGTCTATGTGGTGATACAAGGTGCTCTCCTGCTGTGTGAAGGGTTCGCTCTGGTCTATGTGGTGATACAAGGTGCTCTCCTGCTGTGTGAAGGGTTCGCTCTGGTCTATGTGGTGATACAAGGTGCTCTCCTGCTGTGTGAAGGGTGCGCTCTGGTCTATGTGGTGATACAAGGTGCTCTCCTGCTGTGTGAAGGGTGCGCTCTGGTCTATGTGGTGATACAAGGTGCTCTCCTGCTGTGTGAAGGGTTCGCTCTGGTCTATGGGTTGATACAAGGTGCTCTCCTGCTGTGTGAAGGGTGCGCTTTGGCCTATGGGGTGATACAAGGTGCTCTCCTGCTGTGTGAAGGGTGCGCTCTGGTCTATGTGGTGATACAAGGTGCTCTCCTGCTTTGTGAAGGGTTTGCTCTGGTCTATGGAGTGATACAAGGTGCTCTCCTGCTGTGTGAAGGGTTCGCTCTGGTCTATGGGGTGATACAAGGTGCTCTCCTGCTGTGTGAAGGGTTCGCTCTGGTCTATGGAGTGATACAAGGTGCTCTCCTGCTGTGTGAGAGCATGTGAAGGGTGCAAGCTGCACTTCAGCCACCAGGGGACAGTAGATGGAGACTGATTCTTTGCACAGTAATTATGCAGGCTGCAGGAATTTGGGGAATGCGGCAGCTGGGACTTTGCTGTGATGTAAACCCAGTGGCACCTTTACTAATCCTACGTCCATCGCCTATAGACAGGAAACATCAATAACAGCAACACAGCACGATGAAAGCAAAAAAGGCCGTTCTGTGACTCAACCTTTTATTCAATCTGATTACAATCCCTGAAAAAAAGAAGCAGACCACCTCCCATAATCCCTTGCGTTCAGAGCGTCAGTGGAAGGACCAGCAATGTGCAGACTCCTATCAGTCACAGACAGGAAAACAATGGGGTGGCATTGCGCAGTTCACAGCTTGCTGTTACGATGTTCGTAGTATAGTAATAAAAGGACCCTAAGGCAGGCGTTTCAAACTCCCATGACTCTCTGGTTACAGCATACATAGAATGCTGAGAGTTGGATGCCATGACTCGATCACTGCTCGACGACAAAGCAGTGGCCAGTAGCGAGTGATGGGCACGCTTTGACTTGCAGTGGCAATTAACGTTTAAGGTTTGGGTAATAGCATTAAACTAGAACTTATTCCCAGTTTTAGATATGTGTCTCTAATTCACCAATTGTTGCATTTTTTTATATTGAATACTTAAAGTCATAGAAAACAATAGGATTTATTCTCAACTTCAAATTATAACAAACTAAAGTTTGAAATAAAACGAAAGGAATACCCCAAGCTCCATGACTCTTTCAGTGATTTGAAGTGGTCATGGTGTCTGGATGTGAATTCAGGGATTTACTATAGGTTAACCCCTTAGCTGTCGATGGTGCATTGGGGCTTCATTAGCCGGTCTGGAACCAGATCTCTGAGTAGTTCATGTGAACTCGGGGCAGATTTGGTTTCTGGCACCATGCAACCAATAGCAGCACAGTCTCCTCCATGCGCACTCCTGTGCTCCTTCCTCCTCCAGCGAGGGGTAGTGACGTTCAGCAATGAGGATCGGGTTGTTGGAAGAAATTGAACTCTGCGATGTAACAAAAAGCAAATGACAGACCACCGCAGAAAGGGTTAATTTAAAGGAGACACTACAGGCTCAGTGACGTAGTCTGGGTGCAGTATCCCGGTTACCTTAGCCCTACAATGTAAAATAATGCAGTTTCATTGCAGGGTTAAGGTAGCCAGTAGAGGCCTTTCATGAAGTTTGATGCTTTGCACGAGGACGTCAAGCATCTTCTAAAACCCCACAGAAAAGCAATGAGTCAATACTCAATGAGTCAGCCAAAGTGGGGGGCACTTACGCACCTGTGTGGCCAGACACCTGCCATGCTTGCCGCACAGGTGCGTAAGTGCCCCCCTCTTTGGCTGACGTCAGTTAAGGAGTCGAGCTCAGTGCAGAGGGATTTCGGCGTTGGAATCAGGTACGTGTTTAAAGTTGTTTTTACCCTTTACTTGCCACTGGGGGGCCGTTATAGAGGCAGGAGTAAAGGGACCCTTTAGTGTTAGGAATACAGCTTTGTATTCCCAACTCTAACGTTTTCCTTCAACTATAAAGGAGTAACCCTTTAAGGCTGTTCGGTCACCTTTTTCTTGATTTGGTGAAATTCCAACACTTTCTCTTTATGATCGTTTCACATTTATGAAAACGGTTCTTTTTGTTGTTTTGATTGGGGGGCGGGAGGTGGGCTGAGAGATGCTTTCAGGATAAAATACCGTACTGGAGAGCTTTCCAGGTTTCGATTATCGCTAACATCTTGCCACCTGCACTTTAGTTTGGAACAGGGAGTTTATTGAATAACCTGATTGAACAATGCAGTATGAGGACTTCTTACAAAATATCCATAAAAATAATTAGAGGGAATAATCTAAAATTAGAAATAAAATGTAAAATCGGTATATTGCTAAACGTGGGCTTACGTTGGTGAAGTGGCTTGCGGTTCAAAGACTTCCTTTGAAATTTTCAAGTTAGGATTTCTCTTCCGTCCTAAAAAACAAAAAAGACAAAAAAAAATAAATATATACACACACACACACACACACACACACAGTAAATCTTGATTTTATCCCGTTAGCCAGGACTCACATGAAATAGTCACTTAAACCCACAAAACAATTTCACAAGTCCTATTATTATCACAAGTACATTATCTCGATCCGTTTAGCTATGGTCTCATTAAAGGCACAACTAATGATTGATGCATTCACTACCAGCAATTTAATCTGGAAAGTGGATTCCAAATGGTGTATTGTTGTAAAGGAGAAGAAATAAGGAATTAAGTGGATATTTCCCCAGGCACAGAAGGTGCCATTAAACGCCCTCTGGCGAGAGACTGACCTTTAGGTCAGATGCTGGTTTGTCTCTCTTTTGTTAATATGAAACAATAGAATGAAAAAAAGAGGGAAACACCCCCCCCCCACTAAATAGAACAATTAAATCAGCTCTGTCACCGTCTGGGGTCTTCGCATAATTTACAAAGACCCCCTACGGTGGCATTGCCGCTGGAGTTCCAGTGGAGGTGGGGGCAGGGAAAGGTGAGATCTACTTACCTGAACCTGCGGCAGCTGCCAGCACTGTATTCTCGCGCATGCATGACAGTACAACATTGAGGGGTATGGAGGAGACCACGGGGTAAAGGCTGGGGGAAATTATACACTTAATAAAAAGGTAGAGCAGAGGAAAATAATGAGACAAAGTAGTCCCTAGAAAACTTTTGAAGAAGTTGGAATTCAGTGAAATCCCAACACAATCAGTCTGAGATTCGGGTGACAGACCCTTTAAAGTGTCCTATGTTGGTGGCTGGGGACGGTTACCGGAAGGCCGATATCTAAAGATATATATATATTTTTTTTTTAAATAGCAGACTTCAAGAATGTTTCTACACCAGTTATTTTTGTTCCTAATTTTCCTCTATTTTAAAAGTAAGGGTGACTTCCGAAAGACATCTAATGGTCATAAAGCGGTTCTGTCACCCCCACCACAAGGAGTATTTCGTAAAAATACAATCTTTATTAAATGCTCACATTGACTGGAATTTCACTAAAAATGAAGATGAAGTGGCCGGGTGATTTTAATGTCCCTTTAATGCTTATGAATGTTTAAATAAAGTGGAGGGCAGAGGCTTCCTGTAATTCACGTTAGAGACCATCGTCAAAGCAAGTTTCAGTTATTTCGAATGTTGGTAGGGTAACGTTTTTTGCAGAGACCGGAAAATAAACCATGTTCCAGAACACAGTATGTAAAGGTATTCCAGTACTCGAATAGAAAAGCGTTTGACTTGGTAAAATATTTTACGTTACACTCCAATAAATTTAATCGCCAGTGGATTGGAGGACAGCCCGTACGGTCTCCCTAATTCATAGAGGGATTATGTGTGAAACGCCATTTATTCATTACTGTACAGATTAAAATGCTTGCGATGTCCCTTTAAGAGTCTATTTCCGCATTGTATCCTTTCCAAAAATGCACCAATTCATGGAAAAGACACAAAGTCTACGCAGTTTGGTAAGAGCATAGATGGAGGCGCAGCCAGAGCAAGCCACATGAACACGACTCACCGTCATACGCGGTTATAAAAGACCTATGACTAAGGTCTCCCAGCTCTCGAAATGAAAACACCCAAAATACAAGACAACATGAATGTCTGGCTGAGCATCATGGGAGAGGTTATTCCAAAAGATAAACACAATGGTCACGAAAAAGGACCAACCACGTTAGCAAGTCTACACAGAAAAAGTGGCCTTGGGTCTTAAACATAAACCATGGAGGGATGAGAATATATAATCAAATATATAATAAGCCGGGAATGGGAGGATATAAGATATAATAAGCCGGGAATGGGAGGATATAATATATAATAAGCCGGGAATGGGAGGCTAACCCATAATAAGCCGGGAATGGGAGGCTAACCCATAATAAGCCGGGAATGGGAGGCTAACCCATAATAAGCCGGGAATGGGAGGCTAACCCATAATAAGCCGGGAATGGGAGGCTAACCCATAATAAGCCGGGAATGGGAGGCTAGAATATATAATAAGCCGGGAATGGGAGGCTAGAATATATAATAAGCCGGGAATGGGAGGCTAGAATATATAATAAGCCGGGAATGGGAGGCTAGCCGGGAATGGGAGGCTATATATAATAAGCCGGGAATGGGAGGCTAGAATATATAATAAGCCGGGAATGGGAGGCTAGAATATATAATAAGCCGGGAATGGGAGGCTAGAATATATAATAAGCGGGGCTGGGAGGCTAGAATATATAATAAGCGGGGCTGGGAGGCTAGAATATATAATAAGCGGGGCTGGGAGGCTATACTATATAATAAGCGGGGCTGGGAGGCTATACTATATAATAAGCGGGGCTGGGAGGATATAATATATAATAAGCGGGGCTGGGAGGATATAATATATAATAAGCGGGGCTGGGAGGATATAATATATAATAAGCGAGGCTGGGAGGATATAATATATAATAAGCGGGGCTGGGAGGATCTAATATATAATAAACGGGGATATAATATATAATAAGCGGGGCTGGGAGGATATAATATATAATAAGCGGGGCTGGGAGGATATAATATATAATAAGCGAGGCTGGGAGGATATAATATATAATAAGCGGGGCTGGGAGGATATAATATATAATAAGCGGGGCTGGGAGGATATAATATATAATAAGCGGGGCTGGGAGGATATAATATATAATAAGCGAGGCTGGGAGGATCTAATATATAATAAGCGGGGCTGGGAGGATATAATATATAATAAGCGGGGCTGGGAGGATATAATATATAATAAGCGGGGCTGGGAGGATATAATATATAATAAGCGAGGCTGGGAGGATCTAATATATAATAAGCGGGGCTGGGAGGATATAATATATAATAAGCGGGGCTGGGAGGATATAATATATAATAAGCGGGGCTGGGAGGATCTAATATATAATAAGCGGGGCTGGGAGGATATAATATATAATAAGCGGGGCTGGGAGGATATAATATATAATAAGCGAGGCTGGGAGGATCTAATATATAATAAACGGGGATATAATATATAATAAGTGGGGATACGAAGATATATATATCTGCAATAATGTGGTAATATACAGAGATGAGAAACTGGATATATTATTCCCTTTTCACACATATAACAATATTCATCACATACGCAGTAAAGCAGGATACGGCCCGCACATTCCTGTATCAGGCAAGTTTCTGCACACAGCCTCGCAAAAAGATTCTTTCATCCACTGAATGAATTGGCTTTGCAGCTGGGAAACATTCCTCTCTAACCCACGCGTTGATTACATTTTATTTTCAGTGTGTGTCCCTTTAATAAAGCTGTGCATTCAGTTCAGTAATACAGGAACCAGGTCACGCAAGTTTGCCGTCCACACCTCAAATCTCCGTAGATTGTCTTCCGGATAAATGGGACGAGGAGAGAGAGAGGCAAGTGTGAGTCATTGACGTTCAGGTTTTAGTCACATCCTTTAAAGCCTCTATATTACTCTAATCCAGAGCCGGGACTGGCTCAGCCGCTCTCAAATCAATCGACAAGAGCCACAACCATTCATTGATCACACAACCTGATAGCACGTGCTATCAACCAACCTATGGTTTTAACATCCTGCACATTTATTTTATTTACACGGAGTCTGGTTATCCTGGCACACCAAACTCATACCATGTACATTTGTTTAAAGGGACACTCTGCAAACCAGAATTATTACAGGTTAATGTACAGACACTGTCCCTGTAGCCTCAGACAAAACAGAGAAAAGTCAGAGTTTAATTTCATCCCTAAAAACAGCTCTAGTGGCAGCCGGTCCCCCAGCATTAGATTGACGGAGATCAGTAATTGATCTGGGTGTAGTGACCACATTTAGTGCCTGTCTTCCAGACGGCCACTAAAGGCACTTCCTGGCCTCTCACCCGGCATGAGGACGTCCAGCATCTTCACAATCCACACAGGAAAGCATGGATTTAATCCAAGTTCTAATATGTGTGGCGCCCACCGTGCATGCGCTTTAGGTCCATCAGCGTAATGTGGAAATTGATCCAGCACCAGAATTAAGGGATAGGAAAAAAAAAAAATACATTGTTAAACATTTTGGTGCTCGCAGAGGGAGAAACCAAATAAGTTAGTACAGGGGCATACTATAGCATTAGAAATACTGTTTTATATTCCTAACACTATATTGTTCCTTTAATGTTTCTTTTACTATTACCTGGGGGTTGGAATATCTAAAAATGTAGAAGTTGGGACAAACACTCCTTACCCTGGACGTTAGCCACGAACTCCTGGAGGAGTGCGGAAGCTGGCCGTGTTTAAGACATTTCCCTGCCAAGTTTTTGTATATTATGTTCCCGAACCCCCTTCACATTTCCGCCCGTACGGGAACTACTGAACACCAAAAAAACACAAATTCAAGTGCGCTCTCTGTGTGACGGCCATTCGTATAACCGAACAACATATGCGCTGGAACAGGGAAGCCATCTTGTCGCACAAGTCTGTGTCTGGAACTATAAGTCGGACACTCGACCTCGTGAACACCTTTGATTTCATTCATGCGCCTGCTTCTTTTCCCAACAAGACAGGAGAGCGCTGTTGGGTAGGGTTGTTTGCACAAACAAGGTGAACAATCACTACCTATGAGCAAGGGGACCGTTCGACAGTTTGTTCGTATGGAACTCCCGAAAATGACTGACCGCTACCACTTCTCTGGAACTAATTTGGGCAGACGCCACTTGTGGAGTCGGTCAAAAAACGTAACCCCTGTGGTGACTCGGCAGTGTTCGTGGGATCTGAGCGCTATTTGGAAAACTTGTGCTCAGATCTAGGCTATCCAGGGATATAATAATATTTGTGGGCATTCTTATATGTGTTACATGTATTTTTAATATTTTATGCTTTATATTTTGTAACTCTAGTGCCTGGAAGATAATTAGTTTATTAAAGCAAAGTACACTAAAGTCTCCTGGGCATGTTGTGAAAGTGGTTTTCTACTGCTGGGGGTATATCTATAAAAACTGTCCATAATAAACCAGTCTTCTTCAACCCTTCATTAAGTCTAGGCGGATGTTTTGGTACCTCAGAGTTTTAATCACGGCTTCACTTGGGAGAACTACAGCGGACAGTTTAATGTAGTGGTTATGGTGCAAGTAGCCTTTCCCTCTTTCCCTGCAGGCCGACAATTACAAGCACTGCCTTTTCAGAGAATATTCAGTGTTTACAATAGGCCTTTTCCAGTCTTCCAATCTTTGTAGGGTCGGTGTTCGAGTCATCACGTGGTAAATGATCTAATGTATCTGTATGAGGAGATGTGGATTGGCGCAGTGCGATGCGAACAGTCCCTAAACCCTTCCCAACAGGGAATCACTGGATTGGCGGAGACCATCTGTAACACAGGGCAAGGGAGAAGGAGCAGCTATGGTGCGACTGGCACGCCAGGAGACTAAAGGCAAGAAAAAAATAAACTTATTTGTTAAGGTGGGTCTAGCGCTAGGAATCCATGTTAGTATTCGTAACAGAGTGTTGATTAAAAAAATGTGGTGCATGTCTCTCCCCAGTAAGCCATTCAGTAGCATTTACCTGGGTGAGGGAATGGGGAGCTGTGACATATCTAATTAGCATATAACAGCCCCAACATATTCCACGCCGGGTTACAATATAGAAGAGCAAGTAACTAATCTCGTCGGCTCCGTCCACGTTACTCACAATGTAAATTAGCCACCAAATCAGCACAGAATATAAAAAGTTAATATTCATTTTAGGACTAACCTTAGAAAACCTCAAATGAAAGCATTTGAAACACTGTAGCAATAAAAGGGACATTATACCTAGATGGAGATAATCCTTTTATCGCAACCAATCTCAGATATAAATATTTTACAAAATGGATGAGCTTTGTTGTTTCACCATCTCAAAGTATAATATGGCACTGCTAGTGAATGCAGACTGTATATTTAAAGACTTTGCTCTAGTAAATTCCACAGGTACAACCAAAAATTAGAGCATTTTGTAGAGGATGTCAATGGGCGGTACAGACTGACCCAAAGTTTATTTTGGCCAGGAATCAGCCAGGAAGTCCGCAAGTATTGCAGTAATTGCGATACGTGCCAGAGGGGAGGGAAAAGGGGCGGCTGGCGGAAGGCAAAACTGCACCCGCTACCCATAATTGAAGAACCTTTTAGTAGAATAGCAGTAGATTTAATAGGCCCTCTTCGGAAACCTAGTCCTTCTGGCAAGAAATATATTTTAACTGTAGTAGACTATGCCACTAGATATCCAGAGGCGGTGGCCCTGACCAATATCCACGCTGAAACGGTGACCGAGGCCCTCATGCAGATTTTCTCCCGGATGGGGTTACCCAGGGACATCATCTCGGATCAGGGTACTCAATTCACCACAGAGGTCACCCAGCACCTCTGGAAGATCTGTGACATTAAGCCGATCATCAGTGCCCCTTACCATCCCCAGAACAATGGACTCTGCGAACGGTTCAATGGTATATTGAAACAAATACTCCGAACCTTCGCCGAGACCCACAGGGACTGTGAGCGATTCCTGCCCCACCTCTTCTCTCACCGGGAATCGACCGGGTTTTCCCCAATCGAATTATTATTTGGGAGGAGAGTAAGAGGGCCCGTAGACCTTATTAGAGAACATTGGGAGGGAGACCGGAGCGCAGACAGCACCCGCATCATACCATATGTATTGGCCTTCCGAGAAGCGCTAACTAGGACGGTATTGGAAAACATTCAGGCGGCTCAGACTCGCCAGCACACATGGCATGATCTGGGCGCCAGGGACCGTAGCTTCCAGGTTGGGCAGAAAGTTTTAGTTTTAAAACCTGTCCAACATGATAAGCTACAGGCTGCCTGGCAGGGCCCTTATAGAGTGGTGGAACAGGAGATGTGACACCACTTATATAATTGGCCCCTGTGCAGGAACTGGAGGGCGACGCATGATCCATGTGAACATGATGAAACCTTACCAGGAACGCACAGAGGAGGTGACCGCTATATGTGCGCCCAACTCTGACGAGTTTGACAGCCTTCCCCTCCCAGATCTGGCACACCACTTGCACTGGGAGACCGGTTAACCCACAGGAGCAGCAGCTACTACAGGAGAAGCAAGACACCTTCTCTAATGTGCCTGAGTACACTCACCGAGTAGAAACCCCAGGGCAACTACCCATGCACCAAACTCCCTATCGCATTCCTGAAGCGGTGTGGGAGAACATCTGCAAGGATATCGACGAGATGCTCCAACTGGGGGTGACTGAGTCACCTGACAGCCCCTGGGCCTCCCCACTAGTCCTCGTACCTAAGCGGGACGGTACGACTCCGTAGACTACCAGAGGTTAAACGAGAAGACAGTGTCCGACGCCTATCCTATGCCCAGGATAGACGAACTGCTAGACCGGATGGCCAGAGGCCAATACTTCACTACTATTGATCTGTGTAAGGGGTTTTGGCAGATCCCATTGGCCCCGGGCGCCACCCCATTCGGCCTGTACCAATTTAAGGTCATGCCGTTTGGGATGAAAAATGCTCCGGCTATCTTTCAGCGGATGGTGGACCGACTTCTAGACGGGTTCCAAGACTTTACCTGCGCATATCTAGATGATATTGCCATATTCAGCAGTACCTGGCAGGAGCACTTGGCCCATATAGGAGCGGTCCTGGACAGAATCAGGCTTGACGTTGAAACCTGCTAAATGTAGTATAGGGATGGCCGAGGTACAGTACCTTGGGTACCAAGTAGGTTGTGGGAAGCAAAAGCCAGAGCCTGCTAAAGTAGAGGCCGTAGCCCAATGGCCCACCCCAACCAAGACTCTGGTATTAGCATTTCTAGGAATGGCAGGGTACTATAGAAAGTTTGTGCCCAATTATAGCACCCTGGCCAAGCCCCTTACTGACCTGTAAGAATCTTCCCCGCCAAGTAACCTGGACCCCGCAGTGTGAGCAGGCATTCCAACACTTGAAAAATGCCCTTGTAAATGCCCATCTTGGCCGCTCCCAATCCAACTAAACGTTTTCTTGTCCACACAGACGCTTCTATGTTTGGATTGGGGGCAGTACTGAGCCAAGTCGGGGCCGATGGCGGAGAACATCCCGTGGCGTACATCAGTCGCAAGTTGTTACCCATCGAAAAGGAATGCCTGGCTGTGGTGTGGGTCCTAAAGAAGATGCAACCGTATTTGTATGGACAGCCCTTTTCGTTGCTCACGGATCCCAACCCGTTAGTATGGCTGAACCGGGTGGCTGGGGACAATGCCAGGCTGCTGCGCTGGAGTTTGGCGCTGCAGCCCTTTGACTTTAACATTCAGTACCGCCCGGGAAAACAAAATGGAAACGCTGACGGGTTGTCTAGATAAACAGACTTTGAAAAAATTATCCGTGAGCATCCCCGGACATCCCCAAGCCGATCTGTGCATGCCGGCTTGTGGGCAAGGGCTGTCCTCAAGGATTCGTGTTTCAAATGTATTTCGTGTAATTATTGCTATGTGTAGATTATATATAGTTTTCGTCTGATTGCTCGGTAGTTTTCATTCCGTTTTTCATACGACTGAAACTACCGAACCATCAGACCACCCCAGTGAGAAGTGTGCACCTCATTAAGCTTTCACACTCTGTAACTGCAACCTAATTGACTGTGAAATCGCTACTTTGTATGTATCTGTGTGGTCGCCGTTCGGCATACAAACCACGTGGCGGCGGCCATCTTACGCAAGAAAATCTCAGCAGTGTTTGGTCGTCGAGTGTCTGGAACTCAAAATCGGACACTCAAGCAACCGAACACCGCTGAGACCTCCAGAGCTCCGTAACTCCTGAACAGAGGGGACAACCAGCCCCTCGTTCGGTGAAATCAATGTCTCGAACATTAATTAATACGAACGTAAGAGTAACCATGGATGGCAAGTATTTGTATGTATTTTAACTCCCGAACAGAGACCGACCACAAGGCCAAAACACATGGAGCCCTTTTCGGATACCACCTCGTGTGCGGTCGGTCAAATTTCACCTTCCATCTAACTCCCGAATCCCTGGTCCGATCTGGGTGAATTTTGAATATGTTAGTCACCCAGATCAGGGCTACCAGGGAGTACCCAGTATATAATTCTAGCTGACTGTTTTGGGGTACATCCAGAAATCGGGTAAAACTGCAGTATGGATAAGTGGATTATGTGTCACACTGAGGGGAGGAGATGTGTGGGAGGTAACAGTCACACTATTGGATACTGTACTGATTAATGTGAATCCCTCCCTTGCATGGGAGAAATCTTTAAAAGAAGGTTGTGTGATTAAAAGTTCAGTTCTGCTCCTGGTGCAGTTTGTCGTCCAGTCATTGGGATCTGTATGGGGATATTCGTGGATTACCTTGCTTACTGTGATTATTAATTCTATGGTATTTTATTACTTGTTCCTGAGCCTCACTGGGATCTTTAGTGGAGTTAACCTGTGAAACACCAGCTCTCCGCTACACATTTAAAGTGCATTGAATAGTAATATGCTGTATTGTTTTACAAGCTCAAATCTTTATATAGCTTTTGCATTAGTACATGTTTTGGAGAATGCTGAAACATAAGCCAGCCTCTTTAGCTATGCCCCCTGACTCCAGTGTATGTACACTACTAAGCCATTGATAGCACTGACAGAACATGATTATCCAATGAGCATGCAAAGCTAACGCGGTCAAATTGGAACTGGAACAGAGACAAGTAATGACAGAACTAGTATGGGAAAGCTTACCGTTTTAAAAAGCTGTTTCTTGGATGACACAAGGAATAGCAGATGGCAGCGCAGAGAGAGGCAAGGCGCACTAGAAAAGGTCAAGTAAAATAATGGGGTTTTTTTTGTGAGGAAGGGGGGTTTACAAAGCACACTGGGGATAACTTGTGATTGGATGACTGGAGACAAGTGCTACAGCAATTAAAGAAAATGTAAATAAAGCACCGTGGCCTGATGGTATTCACCCACGAGTACTTAAGGAGCTAAGTGGGGAAAAAAGTGAACCTCTGTATTTAATTTTTCAATATTCTTTTGTTTCAGGTATTGTACCAGAGGATTGGAGGAAGGCAGATGTCGTTCCTATATTCAAAAAGGGTTCAGAATCCTTGCTTGGAAATTATAGAGCTGTCAGCTTAACTTCTGTGACTAGGAAAAAATTTGCAGGGCTATTAAGGGATAATATTCAAAAATTCATTGGGAAGAACTTTGTTATTAGCAATAATCAGCATGGTTTTATGAAACATAGGTCATGTCAAACTAACCTAATTGCATTCTACGAAAAAGTAAGTAGAAGTATAGATCAGGGTGTTGCAGTGGATGTGATAAACTTGGATCTTGCCAAGGAATTTGATACAGTTCCTCACAATAGGTTAGTCTTCAAACTAAAAAAGAGATTGTTCTAGATGAATATTCTTGTTCTTGGGTAGAATATTGGCTTAAAGGACCACTATAGTGCCCTGAGAGTGCCCCCACCCACCGGGCTCTAGGGGGTGGAAGGGGTTAAGTTTACCTCTTTTTTCAGCGCTGGACAGGGGACTCTCCTCCTCCTCCTCTCCTCGTCATTGGCTGAATGCGCTTGCGCGGCATGAGCCGTGGGCGCATTCAGCCATTCCATAGGAAAGCATTCTCTGCTTTCCTATGGACGCTGGCGTCTTCTCACTGTGATTTTCACAGTGAGAAGCGCCTCTAGCGGCTGTCAATGAGACAGCCACTAGAGGCTGGATTAACCCTATTATAAACATAGCAGTTTCTCTGAAACTGCTATGTTTATAGAAGAAAGGGTTAAACCTAGCTGGACCTGGCACCCAGACCACTTCATTAAGTTGAAGTGGTCTGGGTGCCTATAGTGGTCCTTTAAGGATAGAGTACAACAAGTTGTCATTAATGGTAAATTTTCAGGCTGGACAAAAGTGGTAAGTGGTGTCCCTCAGGGTTCTGTTTTGGGACTGCTTCTATTTAACATATTTATAAATGATCTTGAAATAGGCATTGAAAGCCATGTTTTAATGTTTGCGGATGACACAAAACTTTGTAAAGTAATAAAATGTGAGCAGGATATTGCTTTGCTGCAGAGGGACTTGGATAGATTGGGGGACTGGGCACTAAAATGGCAGATTAAATTTAATGTAGAGAAATGCAAAGTTATGCACTTCGTGGTCAAGAACACACAAGAAATTTACACCCTAAATGGTAGTAAATTAGGGGTAACCACACACACGAGAAGGATTTGGCAATTGTTATAGACAACAAATTAGGCAGCAATATGCAATGTCAATCTGCAGTTGCTAAGGCCAGTAAGGTTTTGTCATGTATAAATAGGGGCATAAATTCTTGGGATGAAAATATAATTTTGCCTCTTTATAAATCGCTGGTAAGACCACACCTTGAATATGCTGTGCAATTTGGGCACCTGTTCTAAAGAAGGATATCATGGCACTAGAAAAAGTGCAGAGACAAGCTACAAAATTGATAAAAGGAATGGATTACCGTATATACTCGAGTATAAGTCGAGTTTTTCAGCACATTTTTTGTGCTGAAAAACCCCCACTCGACTTATACTCGAGTTAATGTCTGTATTATGGAAATTTACATTGCCACAATACAGACCAGGACCGCCGGGCTCATTACAAGCCCGGCGGTCCTGTTGGGGGCTGACAGTGAGTGGTTACTTACCTTCCTGCAGCTCCTGTCAGCTCCCTTCTCCTCCGTGCAGCTCCTCTGTCAGCTCCCACTGTAAGTCTCGCGAGAGCCACGGGGTCACCGCAGCTCTCGCGATCCTTACAGTGGGAGCTGAACGGAGGAGAAGGGAGCTGACAGGAGCTGCAGGAAGGTAAGTAACCACTCACTGTCAGCCCCCCCTCCTACACAGCCCATACACTGGACCACCACGGAATGAGAGTCCCCCTCCCTGGCAAGCTAACAAGCAGGGAGGGGGGGACGAAAATTAAATAAATAAATAAAAAATACAATAAAAATATTAACACAAAAAACTTAAAATAAATAAACTTAAAATAATAAAATAAAAAAAACTTAAAATATAAAAAAATTTTTTTAATAAAAACGCCCTCCTCCCACCCAGTTCTCACTTACTCACACACACACACACACACACACACTGCATTATATACGCACACACTCATACAAACAATCTGCATTCTACACACACACACACTCATGCAAACACACACACAGAGTGTGTGCGTATATAATGCAGAGTATGTGTGTTTGTGTGAGTGTGTGTGTAGAATGCAGACTGTTTGTATGAGTGTGTGTGTATATAATTCTAAAAATCACAGAATTTCATAGCCCCAAGTTTTACCCACGACTTATCCACGAGACATAGCATATTTCACAATTGTTGGTCACAAAACTGCCCTCGACTTATACATGAGATCGACTTACGAGTATATACGGTATTTTAGTTACGAAGAAAGGTTAAAAAAATTTAAATCTCTTTAGTTTGGAAAAATGGCTCTTCAAAGGGGATATGATAACATTATACAAATATATTCGGGGCCAGTACAAAGCTTTATCTGGAAATCTATTCATAAACAGGGCTATACATAGGACACAAGGTCACACATTTAGGCTGGAAGAAAGGAGATTTCATCTAAGGCAAAGAAAAGGGTTTTTTTACAGTAAGAGCAATAAGGATATGGAATTCTCTGCCTGAAGAGGTGGTTTTATCAGAGTCCATACAGATGTTTAAACTGAAATTGGATAAATACTTGCAAAAACATAACATACAGGGATATCATTTCAAATTAGTGGGGTAATAGCTGCTTGATCCAAGGAGACATCTGACTGCTATTTTGGGATCGATAAGGAATTTTTTCCTAGTTTGTTGCAAAATTGGAAGTGCTTCAGACTGGGTTTTTTTGCCTTCTTTTGGATCAACAGCAAAAACACATGTGAGGAAGGCTGAACTTGATGGACGCAAGTCTCTTTTTAGCTACGTAACTATGTAACCCCCTTGCATGGGGAAAGTATAAAGCCGTGTGTGGCCAGTAAAGTTGTTGTACCCCTGGAACGGTGTGTCGTCCAGTTACAGGGGGGAATATGGGTCTGATCATTTATTAATAGCGGCGGTAACCAGCCGGGTTACCCAGGGACCGCAACAGCTATATTATATCCATTTAAGAGTTTACCACTTTATCTGCCCCCCTAGCGCTACCTGCACACAAACAGATTTTTACCTTGTAGGGTGCCACAAGTGAAAATACTCTCTAAGCACCATACTTACAAAAGATCACTGTAGTGGTTATGGTGTCAGGACTACGCCTTGACCTGTTGTCGTCTGCCTCCACCTCCATCTTCAGAGACCTGGAACGTCCAATAGCTCATCAAGGCAATGGAAGAAGAGCGCGTGTCACCGGATTGCTCTCAGCTAACGAGTTAGGCCTCGCATCGCACGGAAAGGTTTAGCCACGGTTTGAGCTAACAGAAGTCCCACTTTGGACCTTCCGGTTATCTGGATATGGTCATGGAGCTGGGGAGCAGCGCCCGTCAGACCCCAGGTAAGTCGTTCTAAAACAATCTGATTCCTTACAACATGCGATGCCACGGAAGCGCTCCCCCCAGCTCCTCTAACTGGAAGGCATTGTCCTTATAGTAGATTACTAGCACTTTCCGTTAATTAAGCGTGGACATCCTGATGAACATTAGGATACCATAAGATCACCGTTTAATTCAGAGTGTCCGGATAAGGAGCACTCTGAATGTTAAAGGGACACTCCAGGCACCATAACAAACTTGGCATGGTCCGATGTCTTACGTACCTTTCTAACTCTATTCCACCTATTACTGTATTTATACTCATTGTTGCTTCTTTAACTTCACGACAAAAGAAAGATATTTCAGGCTCCTAGTGGCAACTGACTGAAGCCCTGGCTAGCAGCGTAGGATGAAAATGTAAGCCCTGTAATATAAAGTTAGATTAGATGCATCTTCACCTCATCTTTGTATGTCAAATATCCCCAATTCCATAGTTGTAAAGCTCTGCAATATATATATACATACATACATACACACACACATATATACACACACACACACACACACCACGCATTTATTTTTATTTTTCCCATCTAAAAAGGAGTCTATTATAAAGTCATAATACAAGTTATAATAAGACAAACTTTACAAATTAAATCCATTCCCGACGCACTGATGGAAGTAATTTACAATAATGAATTAGAATCCCCATCTTTGACAAGTTATCTCCAATCAGATTGATTTTATGTAGCTAGACACCCGCTGCCCACAGATACTGCGTGTCAGAATCAGAGCTGGCATTGGATCATGGTAGATGTAGTTTATAAACAGCTGGAGGGCAACATCCACGCCACTAAAACAAGGAAACGGAAAATCGTACAATTCCCAGAAACCTTTACACCCAGTCCCCATCCAGTTAATATGAAACGCATGCTCACACTACCGCATCACTCACAGCCATCAGATGCCAGGCAGGGACTGGCTCAGGGCCATAGGAGTTGCTGAACTAATCGTACACAGAAATATCCCTAGGGGCGCCCCCTTAGCATTCGTTTATACGGTCTTCGTTTAGGGTCAAATTATGTAACCGTGAACCAATTTTATTTTTATTGGTGGGATCAGTGAGTGACGCCACGATTGTTCCACTGTCCACACCGACTACCACGCCTGCTTTTTCCTATTATGATTTACAAAGCAGCCACAGACTGCTCACCGGCTCAGGGAAGGAAGCTGGGTGCCTGCGCATGCAAACATTTATGGCATGATCTATGGCTCCAACACGGACTACAAAGCACCATGAGGTCACTGCAGGCTATCATACGAAATCAGAAAATGTAAAGCAAATTACAATTAAATTAGTTTTATATCAAAACAGTTTAGAAATGGTGTTTTTATATTTTTTTACCATAAAGGCTTAAAATGTATTATATTATGATTGTCCAAGCACCAGCTTTCAGCTAAACCCACTGATCACAAAAAAATAAATAAATAAATAAATAAATAATAATTTAAAATGTCCGAATCCAGTCTGATGCCGCATTTAAGCAGACTGCAAAAAAATATTAAATAAAGCTTCAATTAAAAAACAAATAAATGACATTTCTCAGCAGGAATACCTGTTTATTGCAGGTAAATTCACCAATGGAACCGACTTACTCTACGTTTTAATACCTTACAATCTGCTCGATTATTGTGCATTCCTACCAAGTACCCAGCATCAGGAGGGACAGTCCCACCGCCTGCACCGACCCCCTCTACCACAGGAGAGTGTGGACATATCTGAAAACAGGGACAGTCGGAGCAGGATTTGGGACTGTCCCTCGCATACTTGGAAGTTCATTTTGTAAATCAAATACTTGAGAATGCTGAATAAAAGTGTATTAATGCCTTATACATATTCTGACAGGCATTCCTCAGAGGAGTATGCGATAAGGAAATGCTTTTCTGGGAAACAAAATATAAAAAAAATAAAATAAAAATTACATTGAATTAAGGGAAAGCTGAAGCAGTGACATACTTGTCTAAAGTTACAGAACATACGCGCTCATTTAACCCCTTGTTCCCAGCCATAACCAGTAAGAATTGAGTTTTTAAGCAGGAAATAAGATCATTGGCTCACACCACTTACAAGGCCTTAGGGACAGATCGACAGAAATGATTTTTCATGCAGAGCACATTAATGGGCTGAGCAGAGCAGTGCGTATGCAGTACTGCGTTTATATTGCAGCAAGAGGGAGTTTGACCCAGAGTTTTAACAGCGCGTCTGGCTGCAACAAGGGGTTAAAATAAAGTGTAATCCTATCTGGGCAATGCTCAGTCCTGCTTTACAGGAAACATTCTGCAAAGGGCAACTTGCAGCCCTGCACAAAGAGACCTCCGCACACTGCAGCCCTGCACAAAGAGACCTCCGCACACTGCAGCCCTGCACAAAGAGACCTCCGCACACTGCAGCCCTGCACAAAGAGACCTCCGCAAACTGCAGCCCTGCACAAAGAGACCTCTGCAAACTGCAAACAACATGCACTTTCTGTCCATCAACAGTGAGTCTGGCTGCAACAAGGGGGTTAAAATAAAGTGTAATCCTATCTGGGCAATGCTCAGTCCTGTTTTACAGGAAACATTCTGCAAAGGGCAACTTGCAGCCCTGCACAAAGAGACCTCCGCACACTGCAGCCCTGCACAAAGAGACCTCCGCACACTGCAGCCCTGCACAAAGAGACCTCCGCACACTGCAGCCCTGCACAAAGAGACCTCCGCAAACTGCAGCCCTGCACAAAGAGACCTCCGCAAACTGCAAACAACATGCACTTTCTGTCCATCAACAGTGAGTCTGGCTGCAACAAGGGGGTTAAAATAAAGTGTAATCCTATCTGGGCAATGCTCAGTCCTGTTTTACAGGAAACATTCTGCAAAGGGCAACTTGCAGCCCTGCACAAAGACTTCAGCAACTGCAAACTGCAAAAAAAAAGCATGCACTTTTAATGCAATGGCTGCTCTCTAGCACTGCATGCATGAAGTTATTGATTTAGAGCATGCACACTGCAAAACTGCTGCATTATAAATGCATTGCCCCAGCACAGAGGGCTGCAAGCTGAGCATGCAGTGAGCCATGCAGGAGATGCATGCATTAAATAAAGTGTTACTGACAGACTCTGCATGGGAGCCCTGCCTTGCATTAACTGCAGAGGAGGAAGCAAACAGGAAATGTGAGTGCAGTGGGCAGGCAGGCAGGCTGTGTGTGTGTGTGTGTGCATGCATGGCTGCCTGTGTGCATGCATGGCTGCCTGTGTGCATGCATGGCTGGCTGTGTGCATGGCCGGTAGGTTGCAGGACTTACCTCCCCTGGACTGAGACATTGTCCCCTCTGCTTTGGGTGGGGGAGGTGCACACAGACTCTGCCTCCCCTGCTGGGGCTCTCTGAGAACAAGCTGCAAAGTGCTGCTCCCAGGCTGCTTGCCAATAAAGCTGGGTGAAGGCCGCTCTGGCTGGCCGCTGCCGCTCTCTCCCTCTGCTCCCGGGCTCTGCACCTACATGATGGGCCACAGCTCCAAACTTGGATCAGCCGAGCTCACTGCGCATGCGCTCCGTGCGGCCGCCGCGGAGGCTGCCGGGAAGTGTAGTTACTGAGCGCGGCGCACCTACAGACAGAGCGAGGCAGAGCGCGAGCTGCTTACCGCCCTGGGCGGGGCGCCGGCTGGAGCATCACGGGAAATGTAGTTCAAAGTGTGATGTGTGGGGGCCCACAGGGTTATTCACTAAAGGGAGAGTTCAAAGCGAATCCCAGGGTTAGGATACAAAGAGACTCCTTGGGAAATTCTCTAAATCTGATTTATTTATTATTAGTTAGGGTCATTTAACCTTAAAGGGACAGTCCACTAAAATAATAACAATGGAAAAAACTTTATTTAAAGGGACAGTCCACTAAAATAACAATGGAAAAAACTTTATTTAAAGGGACAGTCCACTAAAATAACAACAATGGAAAAAACTTTATTTAAAGGGACAGTCCACTGAAATAACAAAAATAAAAAAACGTTATTTAAAGGGACAGTCCACTGAAATAACAATAAAAAAAACCTTTATTTAAAGGGACAGTCCACTGAAATAACAATGAAAAAAACCTTTATTTAAAGGGACAGTCCACTAAAATAACAATAAAAAATGTTATTTAAAGGGACAGTCCACTAAAATAACAATGAAAAAAACGTTATTTAAAGGGACAGTCCACTAAAATAACAATAAAAAAATGTTATTTAAAGGGACAGTCCACTGAAATAACAATGAAAAAACTTTATTTAAAGGGACAGTCCACTAAAATAATAACAATGGAAAAAACTTTATTTAAAGGGACAGTCCACTAAAATAACAACAATGAAAAAAACTTTATTTAAAGGGACAGTCCACTGAAATAACAATGAAAAAAACCTTTATTTAAAGGGACAGTCCACTAAAATAACAATAAAAAATGTTATTTAAAGGGACAGTCCACTAAAATAACAATAAAAAATTTTTATTTAAAGGGACAGTCCACTGAAATAACAATGAAAAAAACTTTATTTAAAGGGACAGTCCACTAAAATAACAATGAAAAAACTTTATTTAAAGGGACAGTCCACTAAAATAACAATGAAAAAACTATTTAAAGGGACAGTCCACTAAAATAACAATGAAAAAATTTTATTTAAAGGGACAGTCCACTGAAATAACAATGAAAAAAACTTTATTTAAAGGGACAGTCCACTAAAATAACAATGAAAAAACTTTATTTAAAGGGACAGTCCACTAAAATAACAATGAAAAAACTATTTAAAGGGACAGTCCACTAAAATAACAATAAAAAAAACTTTATTTAAAGGGAGGGGAAGTCCACTAAAATAACAATGAAAAAAACGTTATTTAAAGGGACAGTCCACTAAAATAACAATGAAAAAAACGTTATTTAAAGGGACAGTCCACTAAAATAACAATGTAAAAAACGTTATTTAAAGGGACAGTCCACTAAAATAACAATGAAAAAAGTTATTTAAAGGGACAGTCCACTAAAATAACAATAAAAAAATGTTATTTAAAGGGACAGTCCACTGAAATAACAATGAAAAAAACTTTATTTAAAGGGACAGTCCACTAAAATAACAATGAAAAAACCTTTATTTAAAGTGACAGTCCACTAAAATAACAATGAAAAAAACTTTATTTAAAGGGACAGTCCACTAAAATAACAATGAAAAAAACTATTTAAAGGGACAGTCCACTAAAATAACAATAAAAAAACTATTTAAAGGGACAGTCCACTAAAATAACAAAAAAACTTTATTTAAAGGGAGGGGCAGTCCACTAAAATAACAATGAAAAAAACTTTATTTAAAGGGACAGTCCACTAAAATAACAATGAAAAAAAACGTTATTTAAAGGGACAGTCCACTAAAATAACAATGGAAAAAAAGTTATTTAAAGGGACAGTCCACTGAAATAACAATGAAAAAAACGTTATTTAAAGGGACAGTCCACTAAAATAACAATGAAAAAAACTTTATTTAAAGGGACAGTCCACTAAAATAACAATGAAAAAAACTTTATTTAAAGGGACAGTCCACTAAAATAACAATGGAAAAAACTTTATTTAAAGGCACAGTCCACTAAAATAACAATGAAAAAAACTTTATTTAAAGGGACAGTCCACTGAAATAACAATGAAAAAACTATTTAAAGGGACAGTCCACTAAAATAACAATAAAAAAACCTTTATTTAAAGGGACAGTCCACTGAAGTAACAATGAAAAAAACCTTTATTTAAAGGGACAGTCCACTAAAATAACAATAAAAAAAGTTATTTAAAGGGACAGTCCACTAAAATAACAATGAAAAAAACTTTATTTAAAGGGACAGTCCACTAAAATAACAATGGAAAAAACTTTATTTAAAGGGACAGTCCACTAAAATAACAATGAAAAAAACTTTATTTAAAGGGACAGTCCACTAAAATAACAATGAAAAAAACTTTTATTTAAAGTGACAGTCCACTAAAATAACAATGAAAAAAACTATTTAAAGGGACAGTCCACTAAAATAACAATAAAAAAACTTTATTTAAAGGGAGGGACAGTCCACTAAAATAACAATGAAAAAAACTTTCTTTAAAGGGACAGTCCACTAAAATAACAATGAAAAAAAAGTTATTTAAAGGGACAGTCCACTAAAATAACAATGAAAAAAAAAACTTTACTTAAAGGGACAGTCCACTAAAATAACAATGAAAAAAACTTTATTTAAAGGGACAGTCCACTAAAATAACAATGAAAAAAACTTTATTTAAAGGGACAGTCCACTAAAATAACAATGAAAAAAACTATTTAAAGGGACAGTCCACTAAAATAACATGGGAGAAGGCAGGGGAAGTCTATCGACATTTCCAGAAGGTGAGGGAACCATGGTTGGGACGGCCATAGGGGAGTCACGATGACCAACGTGTCCTTTTGGCGCCATAGATGTAGAAATCAACAGGGAATCATTTCAAACAGAGGGAATGCGTAATTCGTCTCCGTGGCCCAATCCTGAAGGAAGGCATTCGTTGCGAGAGCCGAGGGATCCGGTCTCCAACTGTAGAATCGAGGGAGTTGAGCGTTCAACCAGGAGGCAAAGAAGTTTACTCCCAGAGGTCCCCAGGTATTTGTTATGTTCTTGAATGACAAAGGGTCCAGGCGCCAGTCGCTGAAGTCTCTGAGGTGTCTGGAGTACCAATCCGGAGTGGTGTTGGAAAGTCCGGGAATATATTCCGCTATCACGGAGATATTGTGCATAAGGCAGAATTGCCAGAAGTCGCGTGAGAGGCTGCGTACTGCAAAGGACCTGGCTAAAAGCTCTAATCAGTTGATATGCAGTGTCATTTCGAGCTCCAACCCTCTGCCTCCCGTGGATGTATCTGCACAACGTGCACCCCAGTCGTGTAAGCTCGCATCTGATTCTATGATCAGATCTGGGGTTGTTCCGAAGATAGCGCGTCCATTCCATGCCTCCATGTGGAGGAGCCACCAGCGAAGTTCGTCTTTCGCTTCTTCGTCTAGCTTTACCATATCCCCGTATGATGCTTCGCCTCTGAGGTGAGAGGCTTGAAGTCGTTGTAGAGCTCAGTAAAAGAGTGGGCCTGGGAATATGGCCTGGATGGAAGCCGCCAGGAGTTTGAGAGAGAATTGGGGAACGGCCAATGTGTGTCTGATTTCTTTTTTGATGTTCAGCAATTTTGACACTGGTAGGTGTAGTGTTTGTGAAGTGGAGTGGAGTTGATGAAGAGTCCTAAGAATTCAATGGTCTGAGCCGGTGTCAGGATAGATTTTTCCCAGTTTATAAGGAAACCTAGGTTTTGCAACAGCGTAAGAGTCCATGTGAGATGTGTGTGGAGAAGGTCGGTAGACTGGGCTAGAAGGAGGATATCGTCTAGATCAGTGTGATTCCCAACCCAGTCCTCAAGGCACACCTACCAGTCCAGGATTTAGGGATTACCCAGTTGTGTCTAAGGTGTTTTTTTTCTTCTTTGTAAAAACACCTTAGACACAACTGGGTAATCCCTAAATCCTGGACTGGTAGGTGTGCCTTGAGGACTGGGTTGGGAAACATTGGTCTAGATAGATGATAAGCCGAACACCTCGACTTTGAAGCAGAGCAATCACGGGTTTCATAACTTTTGTGAAACACCATGGGACTGATGACAGACCAAACGGGAGGCATGTGAGCCTCCATTTCCTTCCTTTCCACGTAAATTGGAGAAAATCTTGGCATTTGTCCGATATAAGTATCATGTGGTACGCGTCCTGTGAGTCTAACTTGGCCATCCAATCTTTGGGTTGTAGAAGGTCACGCAGGCAATGTATGCCTTTCATTTTGAAAGTCGGACTGACCCTCTAAATCGTCCTTGTCGGACTCATCCATTTCCTCCTCAATGTCGCTGAGTTCTGTCTCAGACGAGTCTAGTTGGGCTCTCGCCTGCTTCCATAATTTAGACGATTTTGCCCGGCTAGTGGCTCTTTTGCGCGGTGGTGGTTGCGTGCCATCTGAGACAGAAGTGAGACTGTCACTCAAAGCAGTTTTGGAGGGATGTTTGGTCTTAGCCGTAGCTTTGCGACCTTGGGGGACCGTTGTTACACTAGATGCAGTTGACGTGCCAGTCTGTTGCGCAGATTGATGGGTCTGCAAGATAGCCTGTGTAATACTGTGCGACAGAGACATTGACACAGCGTCCATAGTGGAGACTATAGCCTGTGATATGGATCGTGAAACCGAGGCGTCGAATAGCGGCTGTATGTCCGCAGTAGCGAATAAATCATGGGACAGTCCCTTCCCCCAGGTTACCCTGGGAAATCTGAGGCATCACTTGCGACCAGGGCCGGATTAACATAGGGGCTGATGGAGCTGCAGCTCCAGGCCCAGGCCCATGGAATAGGCCCATTGATTTAAAAAAAAAAAAATTTTTTTTTTTTTTTTTACATTTTTTTTTTCACACAGCTCAGGGAAGTAAGGGATGGGGGGAAAGGCTGCAAGGAGACATGGGGACACTGAGACACTAAGGGACATTGGGAGACATTATGACACAGACACATATCTCCCAGCCAGTGTCCCTGGTGTCTCAGTGCCCCCAGTCTGCCAGTGGCTCACTGTCTCCTAGTGCCTCCATGTCTCTCAGTGCCTCAAGTGTCACAATGTCCCCATGTCTCCAAGCTAGTGTCCCTAGTGTCTGTGGCCCT